CCTGCAAAAACTCAAGAAACGTTGGCATTAGTTGCAGAGTGAACATTGCTGAGCACTGCCGAGAAATGCAATCCCCAGCCTTTTTCCATTTGTTCTGCTGAAGTTTTCATGGCTTTTGCCACAGTTTTTGATGGGTTTTAATTCGGCAGTTTTTGCAATCATTCTCATGTTTTTCATCTTGAAACTTGAAACTAACAAGCATTTCAATAGCATTATATTCCCCGTGTTTTTCCAAAGTTCTGTTAACTGTTCATTGTCTTTACCGCAATTTTTGATAGATTGTGTGATATTTTTATGGGTTTCGTTCTCACCTCTTTCACCCTAACCCTGCAAAAACTCAAGAAACGTTGGCATTAGTTGCAGAGTGAGCACTGCTGAGCACTGCCGAGAAATGCAATCCCCAGCTTTTTTCCATTTGTTTTGCTGAAGTTTTCATGGCTTTTGCCACAGTTTTTGATGGGTTTTAATTCGGCAGTTTTTGCAATCATTCCCATGCTTTTCATCTTGAAACTTGAAACTAACAAGCATTTCAATAGCATTCTCAATGGTTTTTCGATTTTTGATGGATTTTGCGCTACTTCTGTTGGCTTCGTTCTCACATCTTTCACCCTGACCCTGGCAAAAAAGGCAAGAAACCTTGAAATTAGTTGCAGATTGAGCACTGCTGAGCACTGCTGAGAAATGCAATCCCCAGCCTGTTCCATTTGTTTTGCCGAAGTTTTCTTGGCTTTTGCCACAGTTTTTGATTGGTTTTGATTTTTGTTGAGCGAGTACAGGGATTGGTGATTTGATTTCAACTGTGCTCACAAAAAAGAAATGGTGTTATTGCCATGCTGTTATTTGGTAAACCTCAATAATGGGGTTTCTAGCTAACTGTATTTTGCGAATGCAACCTCATTATTTCTTTCAATGTTTTTCATTGTTTGTTTTTCATTATGTTTCATTGTTTTTTCAATGTTTTTCATTATTTTCATTGGTTTTTCAATGTTGTTCATGGTTTTCATTGTTTTTTTTCAATATTGCTCATTATGTTTTTCAATGTTTGTCATTGTTTTCATTATTTGTTTCAGTGTGTGTCATGATTGTTCCTTGTTTTTTTCAATGTGTTTCATTTTTTTTCATTTTTTTCGATGTTTTTTTCATTTTTTTCATTGTTAATGTTTTTCATTATTTTGCATGAACATGTAGGCCCCACCTGATCGAACTTGAATTGAGCACTAGTAAGCTTTAGTAGTGACTCAGCAGTGCTCGGTGGGACATGAAAACCATCGAGTGAAAGTTTTAGACCAAGATTTGGCACTCAGTAGTGCTCAATGCATTGAGTGCTATTTTGGCCTTAGTAAGCTTTAGTAAGCTTTAGTAAGGCTTAGTAAGGCTTAGTAGAGCTTAGTAGTGCTCAGCTCTTTTGGGCAAGTCAATGAGTACTGGTGAGGTTAAGGCCTCTTGGGGGGGGGGTTAGGGGGGGGGGGGTCTATGGATTTGTGATATTAGTTAGAAAATTGCCTCCAAAATCACTTTTACCTATTTTGCTCCAAATAACCTTGCCTGACCTATAGGGTGTGTGTTTTTGCGAATTGTATTGTCAGGGCTGCGTCAGCGACAAGGTGCAAATTCCGTGGCAGGCGTTGCATGGCGTTGCACTTTGTGAGATGTGATGAAAATTGATGGAAGCCTCGCACGAAACATCGATTTTGAGGTAGCAAATTGAGGTTCATAAGAAAACTCCTAGGATAACATCGATTTTGAAGCTACAAAGTGTGAAAATTGGAGAGAGGTCTCGCACGAACTGCTGGTTTTGATGCTCCAACATGTCTCGTCTCGAGTCTCTGCTTTTCCTGTGGCCTCGCCGTGTCTATGAGAGAAGCTGCAAAATCTCTCCTTTCGAAGGTTTCCAAGCAGGTTGTCATGCCGTTTTGCGTGGCAGGCGCGGCCCTTTGTGACATTCCAACCTGTTTGATAAGAAAGATGTCGAAAATCGTTTTGTGTGGCAGGCGCTATACTTCTGCGTCGTTTTCACAAGATGAGTTGCAGTTCTCGTGGCAAGCGCAGCATTTTGGAGATCTCTGTCGTCATTTTGCGTCGCAGGCGCAGCACTTCAGACGTGTCGCATTGCGTGCTCTACACTCCACACTCCACCCTTTACACTTCACACTCTACACTTTACATTCCACACTTTACACTCTACACTCCACACTCTACACTTTACACTCCACACTTTACACTCCACACTTTACACTCCACACTTTACACTCTACACTTTGCACTCCGCACTCCGCACTCTACACTCCACTCTGCACTTTACACTCCACACTCCACACTCTACACTTTACACTCTACACTTTACACTCTACACTTTACACTCCACACTCAAAACTTTACACTCGACACTTTACACTCCACACTGTGCACTCCACACTTTACACTTTACACTCTACACTTTGCACTCCACACTCCGCACTCTACACTCCACACTCTACACTTTACACTCCACACTCTACACTTTACACTCTACACTTTACACTCTACACTTTACACTCTACACTTTACACTCCACACTCTAAACTTTACACTCCACACTTTACACTCCACACTTCACACTCCACACTCTACACTGTACACTCCACACTCCACAGTCTACACTTTACACTCCACACTTTACACTTTACACTCCGCACTTTACATTCCACACTTTACACAACACACTTTACACTCCACACTTTACACTCCACACTCCACACTCTGCACTCCACACTTCACACTCCAAACTCCAGACTCTACACTTTACACTCCACACTCTACACTTTACACTCCACACTTCGCACTCCACACTTTACACTTTACACTCCACACTTTACACTTTACAGTCCACACTGTGCACTCCACACTTTACACTTTACACTTCACACTCCACACTTTACACTCCGCACTTGACACTTGACACTCCACACTGTACACTCCATACTTTACACTCCAGACTCTACACTCCACACTCCACACTTTGCTCGCCACCTTCTTCCATATTCCACAGTCTACGGTGCACTGGTATGGTAACAGGGGAAAAATGTACAAGACTGTTCAAATAAACTGTTTCACAAAAGTGTTCTGCGTGACTGCATATCCATGTGTTTCGACATCTGTACCATTAACATACGTGTGAGCATTCGGGTTCGAGGGCTGCATCTTGTTTTTTTTAAAGTTTAACGGAGTCCAGCGTTGACCTGAAAATGTGTACTGGAAACCCTTGAAAAATCGGATCATTACTCACCTCGGCCCTAACTAGGACGTGGCGGACTATAATGCCCTCTCTATGTTCCTTCTGGAAGAATTCAAGGGCTACTGGGGCCAAAACAATTCTTGCTGATCCAACCATGTTTCGTAGATGACTCAGAATGCCTCGGATGGTTGCGAGACCCCTGCACATTGCATCGTTCGCCATTGGAAGCCATTTCACTTCACATGCGAACTTCAAACCTGGGGTAAACAAATTTTACGCCTTGATCTCGTGTCAAGAAAGGCGAAAAGTTAAATTGGCCCTGGCACGGGAGCAAATAAGGTGGTTCTGTGCATTCAGCGTTGCGTAAAAGGATATGAGTTGTTATACAAGTACTTCTGTTTGAAGTTGTGAATCTTCAAATGCTGGTGAGTTGGAATCCATGCTACAGTAATCCAAGGATTTTCAAAATATAATGGTTTTCTCCATGAAGGTCAGTGACTGAAGCAGCACGTTCAGGTCACAACTACTTCAAGTGGTCAATACTCATGGCCCATGGTGGGGCCGAACAAAAAAGTGTGCGTGTGCAAAAAGTTGGCAAAAGTCCCAGCTCCGAACTTAAATTGACCTTTTGTGTGTGTCATCTCAGTTTGTGGGTCTTCCAGCATTTTACCATTTAAAATGAAGCGTCCGCCGTTCCCAAGATTGGATGCAACATGAACCGATGAGATCCGGGGAGAGGAACCACCCCTGCCCCCGGCACCGACTTCCGCAGAGGGTTCTTGTTGAACTGTACGGTGCAACGTGCACAACTTTCTTCATGTCGAAAATCCAGCTACCATCCCGAAGCAGTTTTCATGCGGCCCTGGAAAGCACATGCTGGGTGCACCTGACGTCAGTTTGCCCTATGGAATATCAGCATTTTTGATGCGAAATCATCGTACATCGTCTATCAAAATGGGATCTGGGATTTTAATATGTAATGTGCGCCTCTTGACATTCGCAGAGCTTCACACAAGGGCCACCGCTCGTTTTTGCGCTCCAAACTTAGTCCGAGGTGGATCTTGAATTTCCAACGCTGCTGGCGGCTTCGTTTTTTTTTACTCTCTCAAGGCCTGGGTGTGTGCGTGTGTGTGTGTGTGAAAATGGAATGCAGCCCAAATGTGCACATGATTGTACAGGTATATATCATAAACACTATCGGTGTATAAAGTTATTATATTATTACAATACTATATATATATACATATACAATTATATACATATATATATATTGAACATACCACACACATATGTGTATATATGTATATATAAAATGTATAATGTCCGGAATTAAATATGGGACACTAATTATTTGAGTACGTAGATGATCATAGATGTATTATTCACATACACCTTGGATATAATATCTTGCAATTGGATGCAATTGGGTTGTGATCAACAAATGGGTTTGGGGCAACCCTTCATGCTGGGATGGCCGTCTGCCAGTTGGACATTTGCCGTCCTCATGAAAGATTCCAGGTCTGCTACTTGCTATTGCTAACAAACTTGCTACTCATTTGACACACCAAGATATTGTAAGAATCTAAGATCACCTAAGAACATCATCTTGAAGTCTAGCATGTACAAAAAAGTAGTATTGCGTGTGTATCGTTTGTGAGAAGTTCTCAAATGTGACTGCAGGGGATATTGCTTAGCTATCACTCCACGCCAGCCAGTTGAACACGTTCGGCGCCAACCTTCACATGTCGCCGGTCGGCTGTTGCCCTCTGCGGGCCAATTCTCAGGATCAAAGATCTGGCAGCGGCTCATATGTCAAGCATGCAACCCTCCCAGACTCCTGTAATGGAGAAACGTGATGTTAAAATATGTTAAACGTGTTGCTTGGAAAACATGCTTTCAGCATAAACATCAGGCAGTTTCCAAGTGGATGGTATCAGCGTATTTCCTTCAACCAATCCATGCTGGGTTTCAACTCGTTTTTTTTTGCCCTGGTGCAGTGTTAACTCCCCATGTTCCGATAAACCATGTTCACCGAGTCCGTTTACCTGGTGATGTTCACCGAATCTTCCACAAAAAAATGTCGGATCCAACATGTTCCACCCAGATTTTCGAGTATTCCTTGGGAAATTTCTTTGTTCCAACCCCCAAAAAAACATGTTTTACCTGGTGATATCGTAAACCCATCTGATCAATCTGGCATGTTTACCGTATTTTTCCAATATGTTTCCACATGTGTCCATGCTTTATCCATATGTTACCCATATGTTACCCTCTGGTAAACTAACATAACTATGGAAAATCACCATTTTTAATGGGTAAATCCACTATTTCTATGGCAATTTTCAATAGCAAACTGTTAGTTTACCAGAGGGATCCAGAGGGTACGGTATATCCCATTAATATCCCATTGAATCACTATAAAATCCCACTAAATCAATATAGATCCATATAGATCCCATTAAATCCCATTAAATCAGTATAAAATCCCATTAAATCACTATAAAAACTATAGTGATTTGTTTTCCCCCCATCTTCCAACCCCAAAAGCCAAACCCTCCGCCACGAACCACGAAAACGACAGGCGCCTCCTCCACTGGATCCACTGGACATCGAGGACGAGGAGCTGGCGCCACTGACTCCCGATTGCGCGCCATGCGCGCCCTGGCGCCGAGAAATCATGGGGAGATTTATATGGGTGGTTATCTGATATATGATCTATATAACTGATATATGATCTATTGGGAGATGTTAAAAATTACAACTCATTTTCAACATATGAAATAATTAAACAATGACTGATCTATTGAATTGTTGACTGGTTGGTGGTTGAGCCACCCCTCTGAACAATATGAAAGTCAGTTGGGATGATTATTCCCAATATATTATGGAAAAACAAAATGTTCCAAACCACCAACCAGATATGTAATAATTCAACAATGACGGATCTATTGAATTGTTGATGCTATGTTTGTGTTTCTGATTCCAGTTCTATAAAAACATGCAGTCTTTCAATCCCCAGCTGATGTTGAATTCATTCAACAAATCACCCAGCTGACCCAACTTGTCTTGGACCCATTCGCAATCCCAAACCTATAGGGGTTTGGATCCTTTCAGTTTCTGCTTGTCGCAAGTTTTCATGGAAAGATTGCCCCGATTTCAGCAGGACTTGCCGGTCACATCAATAGAAACATGATGAAACATATTGCGAAAAAAAAACAATCTGGACGATTCACCTGGATAAATTACAACATCTATAGTCTATAATTACAAGTCTTCATTAACCAGAAAAGTTTTTGGTTATTTGGGGGTTCTTCCCCATAACTATCATCCCAATGACATCGTCACATGAGGGCGTGATGAAAATCATCCATATGTAGATTCAAAAACTCTACTTTTTGCTGGCGAAATCAATCCACATGTCGATTTGTTGGGTGATCATCAAAACATGAACCGTAAATCCCTAAGGTTCACAATCGCAGATTTTCCATGATTTTCCCAGTTCCAACATTCCAACATGGTTCCAACTCTTCAGTCCCGCCTTTCCAGTGGACTTCACAATCTTCTTGACGGCTTTTTCCTTGGCCCCACAGCGAGTCGGAACTAATGATTAGCTGGTTGGTGGTTTTTCGCCACCCCTCTGAACAATATGAGTTCGTCAGTTGGGATGATGACATTCCCAATATATGGGAAAATAAAAGTCATGTTCCAAACCACCAACCAGTTCGTGTTGGTGGGGTATTACAACCCAGGTATACAAGGGATAATCCAGGAAACGGCGACCTATTCACCAGGGGGTTATAAGCAGTTACTGAGTGGTTGACAAGTTAAGAACTACGAAAAATGCAGCCCCTCCTCTGCTTACTGGCTGGGATGCATCATCCCAAATGGGGTTGAACATCAAAAATTGTGGCCCAGGGCATTGAAACCCGCTATGCGGATTATTCCCCTGGTTTTTTTTATTGAAAACAAGACCCTTCAAAAGGCTGAACATCCATAAATCCATAAAGTCAACTTCTGATTTTGCCAAACCCTAGTCCATCATTTTGGGGGGGTTCGTCAAATAGCAACTGAACAGCTCTGGTGATCCATGACGTTAGTGATCCCCAACGAGTGGGACTACAATCCACCAATATATCTTCCTGACTCCAGCGAGCTCCTCCAGCCCTTGATGCTAGCATGACAGGTTCATACTTATCTGGTTGATGGTTTCAAGCCCTTTAAAACGTATGCAAGTCAGTTGCTGGTAGTTGCGGAACATCATTCCGGGTAGACATGAAAAACAACATGTTCGAAACCATGAGCCATTGACACTTTCCAATGTAGTTGCCTGAGAACCGAACCCCAAAAAGTCTGCACATATTTTGACACGGCCCAGAAACGATAATTCTCTCCAGTCGATCGACCTTATCTTCAATATCCACCTGGGCAGGGCAACTGGTCGTGCAAATCAAAAAACAAACAAACTAACAGTTTCGAAAAATGTCGTCATCATTCATCATTCATCATTAATCTGTCATCATTCATTCATTCATTCATTCATTCCTTCATGCATGCATGCATGCATTCATTCATTCATTCATTCATTCATTCATGCATTCCTTCCTTCCTTCCTTCATTCATTCATTCATGCATGCATTCATTCATACAATCAATCATTCATTCATTCACTCATTCATTCATTCATTCATTTATTCACTCATTCACTCATTCATTCATTCATTAAATTTCATTTAATTTCATTCGTTCATTTCATTTCATTTAATTTCATTTCATTCATTCATTCATTCATTCATTTCATTCATTCATTCATTCATGCATTCATTCATTCATGCATTCATTCATGCATTCCTTCCTTCCTTCATTCATGCATGCATTCATTCACTCATTCATTCATACATTCATTCATTCATTCATTTAATTGCATTCATGCATTCATTCATTCATTCATTCACTCATTCATTCATTTCATTCATTTCATTCATTTCATTCATTTCATTCATTTCATTCATTTCATTCATTTCATTCATTTCATTCATTTCATTCATTTCATTCATTCATTCATTCATTCATTTCATTCATTTCATTTCATGCATTCATTCATTCATTCACTCATTCATTCATTCATTCTTTCATTCATTTCATTCATTTCATTCATTTCATTCATTTCATTCATTTCATTCATTTCATTCATGTCATTCAATTTCATTAATTTAACTTCATTCATTTAATTTCATTCATTTAATTTCATTCGTTTAATTTCATTCATTTAATTTCATTTAATTTCATTCATTTAATTTCATTCATTTAATTGCATTCATCTAATTTCATTCATTTAATTTCATTCCTTTAATTTCATTCATTTAATTTCATTCATTCAAAATCATTCATTCATTCATTCATGCATGCATGCATACATTCAGTCATTCATTCATTCATTCATACATTCATTCATTCATTCATTTATTCATTCATTCATTCATTCATTTCATTTCATTTCATTTCATTTCATCTCATTCATTCATTCATTCATTCATTCTTTCCTTCGTTCCTTTGTTCGTTTGTTCCTTCCTTCCTTCCCTCATTCATTCTTTCATTCATCCATTCATTTCTTCAATCAATCATTCATTAATCCATTCTTTCATTCTTTCATTCATTCATTCATTCATTCATCCATTCATTCATTCATTCATTCATGCATCCATTCATTCATTCATTCATTCATGCATCCATTCATTCATTCATTCAATCATTCATGCATCCATTCATTCATGCATCCATTCATTCATTCATTCATTCATGCATCCATTCACTCATTCATGCATCCATTCATTCATTCATTCATTCATTCATTCATCATCATGATCGTCATCATCATTCCTCTCAGTAGGGATGTGAAAAAAGGAACAAGCACCAAATCAACTGGTGAGTCATCGAACCCATCACCTTCAAAAAGGGGCCTCTGACGCCTTAGTCCATGGGCAGAGATCAACCCATGCCTCCTTGGAAAAAAACCTGCTGTACTTCGAGTGATCCCCACCCTGACAAATTGCTCCCGCATAGTTTCCGACATATCATCTGGAAGTATGTACGGCATATATTATAGATATATTCTGACATTCTATTTGGTGTTCTTTCTGGCATATACTCTGACATTCTTTCCGGCATATATTCGGACATTCTTTCTCTGGCACCTATTCGGACGTGGCATCTATTCTGACATTCTTCTCGACATCAGTTCTATCTGGCATGATATCTGGCATGTGTTCGGGTCCAGGTGTGGCCCACAGCATCCGGAGCTGGCGATGCGGCGTTCGGTCCAGGCGTGTCCAGCTTTGTTAAAATCTGGAGACCCTCACCTGGCAGGTGGGGAACCAAACAAAACATGTTCCCTTGGATGCCTCACCCCCCAAATAAAAAAACAAACTCAAACATTCTAGTCACGTATATATATATATATACATATAAACATAATATAAACATATATATAAACATATATATGAAACATATATGAAAGAATGTAATATGGAACACATTGTGGTCAAATCACACTACACCCACATATGACTCAAAGGAATCCGACCCAGTCGCCTCGTTGGCCGTTTCGGGCCACTGTGATGCAAGGGAGGTCGAGCCGCCATACCTGGGGCCAGAGAACAGCAGTGAATTTATCGGGGAAAAATTGCAAAATGCTGGTTTTTACTGATTTTACTCATTTAGCAAGGAATGATTTCTATTGATTTCTTAGCTGCTGATTTGCCAGGAATGATTTTCGTGATTTACCACAAGCCGGGACCCCCCAGCTAGTTTTCTTGCGTTATAAACTTCACGACTACTATATAATACTGTAGTTATATCCCAATAAAGCCTAGTTGACCAAGTTATCAATCAACTCAGCTATCTACGCCCCACCTTGCAGGAATGGTTCATGAGGTACTGCTTGAGGGTGCAGTTAAGGGCTATTTCTTTTTGGTGGAATACCATGCTGCCTTGGAAGCGAAGTTAGGATATGTTGGTCATTCTGGTGCAGTTCCATCTCATTTCCGTAGCCTTCTCCCATGAAATCCTAGCCGTGACAATCACCCCAAAATCCCGAAGACTGGTATCCTACATCAATCCACCTGGTAAGTTCCCCATCTTCCAAGCCACACATTCCGCGTAAAATCTGGTGATTTCCAAGCCATTTTCCACAAAGATCATCCCCCGGCTTATTCCCCCAGCCAATGAATAAGCCATGGTATGGCCATGGTGAATCTTAGATACCTGCCCAAAGAAAACTCATCTTGTTCGCTGGTTTTCGTACATTTTACCATTGAGATCCATTGATAGCAACAGAATAAAAATTTTAAGTAATACCCTCTGGTAAACTAACATAGCAATGGAAAATCACTATTTTTAATGGGAAAATCCACTATAAATGGCCATTTTCAATTGCTATGTTAGTTCACCAGAGGGTAGTTCGTATTTTACCAAGGTTGACCCAGTTATTTGGTAAATCATCCCACCATTTGTAAGTGGAAAGCTACTCAGCTACTAGTCTGGAATAGTGAGCGGAATAGTATGGAATTATGATCCCCTTCTTATCCCCTGACCTATCCCCTGTTTTAAAATATGGGCCATGTGTTTTTCCCCAGCGGCGAAGCGCCCGCCTCTTAATGCTGTCTGTGGTGACGGGATGTGCACCCGCAGGCTCAAGCACCTGGCATTGTCGAATCCAAGATCCATGAAAGGGGCACCCCTGAAAAATCCAACATGGCAAGCCATGGCAAGCTTGGAAATCCCTCAGAAGTGGAGATTTCATGATAAGAAATATCAATAAAGTTATATAACATTATCTATAAAATTGTGCATTTTATCATGTCGGACATTCAAGAGAACATCATGTTGGGCTACTCAATGGGACTGCTGGTTGATTCTGATAGAACTTTACAGCTTTGGGCTGGAATTTCTGCACATAACTGGAACATCATCCCATTTAGTAAGCGGTAAGTGGGGTTATAAGCTACTTATAAATGCGAAAATCATAGATAATCATAGGCTCGTTGGTGGTATACCTACCCCTCTGAAAAATATGAGCTCGTCAGTTGGGAGGATGACATTCCCAATATATGGAAAGTCATTCAACATTTCATGGTTCCAGTCACCACCAACCAGTTTATCATTGTCTATTAACCACAGTAACCACTATTAACATCTATTAACCACTATTAACCATCATTAATTAACCACTCTAGGCTCTCATCCCCCCAAAATATTCCAGCCACCACCAACCAGACAATCCCCTGAGGAGAAGATTTCGAAGCTCCGGCCTGAATCCCACCGGCCAAGCCAATGTCTCCTTCATTGAACTCCAACTTCCTCGAAAGGGCGAAGGGTCAATGGCCAAACGTCCAGAGAAATGGGAAATAGCAACCCCCAAAGGATAGAAATATACAGTAGTTTTTGGTAAGGAGCCCGCGAGGGCGTCGCGGAGTGTTGTCGTTTTTTCATGTTTACGTCATTTTCGAAGCATCCATTTCATTCCACGTTCTACACTGTTTTCTTGGGGCTAATAACGTTCTTGTTTATTAACGTTCCTGCATCTTCGTTCTTGACACGCTTTTCACTTTTGCAAGTCACGGTTTGACACGCGGTCGATGTTTCGGTTTTGATATGTTGACGTTGGTGTCCGGTGGCGTGTGGGCATGGGGTTGGGTTTGGGGGGGATTAGAACGTTCACGTTAACCAGCGTACTTGCAACTACTTCCTTACACGCATTTCTTCTTTGCAATTCATATGTCATATCATCATCATCTTCAACATCATCATCGTTATTAACATAATCATCATCATTAACATCATCGTCAACATGATCATCATCATTATCATCATCATCATCATCATCAATTGCTTCGGTGAGGTTAAAAAAGAGTTACTTCGGAGACCCCTCTTGGAAGATGCATTTTTAAAAAATCACGAAATGCAGGTTTTAAAGGCGTCGTGCGTTAAAAAACGCGCGACGCCTAGAAGGGGACCTTCCCTAGTTTTTGGAAATATGATGAATATGTAGGAATATAAACTCGTACAAAATTCAAACCAAACTCGTCTTTGAAATATTTTGCCAAAATAGTGATAAAGTTATGCAAAGTCAACCTTGGCTATCACGGTTTGGGGGCACTATACACCCAACAACTTTCATTTTACGTCGGGAGATATCAATAAACCACTGCATTGGATTGTTGGGGATACGGTGGATACATCTGAACAAGGGGAAATTTGAGATCAACGAAGCTTAAATGCCCAACATCTCTCGGTCATTTCGATTCAACAGTTCACATCAGAATGGAACATGAAGACACTAAATGCAAAACCAACAGCAAACAATAGCAAACATCTTCCTGGCTAAAGTCCTTATCTTTGGGCTAACTTCATTTCCCCCATCCTAGGCCTTTAAGCTGCATCCCCAACATTTGACACCACCAAGCAAGAAATGTTCGCGGCATGATTCCGAAAAAAAAACACTGCTCATCAGTTGAGATCATCCCAAATATACTCAAAACATATCATACTTAATTTTTAAAACCAACAACAAAATTTATGTTCATATATGTTTATTAATATTATGAGTCAAATTGATTATATAATATGAATCAGAGATTTTGAACCAGACATCAATTAATTTGACTCACAAAAATGACCACCATCCATCATCCAACCAGGTATGCCAATCTGCCCCCAAACTTGCCACAAATTTCCCATGAAAATCATCATCAGTTGTGTCCCGTTTCCATGGAGAAAAAAAAAACACCCCAACTTTCACAAATGTCCGGCCCTTTATTGGCTCATGTGATTTATTTATTTGACCACCATCCATCCAACAAGTTACAACCACTGAAACAGGTGCCAACGACATTTTTCCCAGAAACCCAAGCACGCCCCCAGCATTTCCGGCCCAATCGGCTCATCCATTTTCAAGGACACCACGAACCTCTCCCAGCGTTTCGCCGAGGCATGACTCACGTTCTCTAAAATCACGGAGCCTTCGACGCGCAATCCGAAGAGATGACGAAGGGGTTGGGATAGCCATGTGATTTATATATATATATAAAAGAACATTCAATAAACAATAACAATATGGCAAACATAATAGAACTAACTAATATGTACTACCATACATACTTATAATATCTTATAATCTGATCTTGCATTAAAGTGGGTTCAAGATGGATTGTAAGAGTTTCTTGTCTATCTATAAGTTTATTTTGCCCAGAGCTATAGTTGCTATGAAGTCCTTTTACAGGAAAAAACAGTAGAATGCTCTCTTCAATCGGTTGAGCTTTGGAATGGATTGAAGATTTCGATATATCACATTGAGGAAATCTATTCTCCTTCAAAATCTTACAATGATGGAGGATGCGACTTCAGTGTTGAAAACCCAACAGGTTGTTGAAAAACCATTCTTCACGCTTTGGCTATCTTCAACCTCAAAGTAAGTTGAGGTTTACAACTTCAGATATCTTCAGATATCTTCAGATATCTTCAGTTCTTAGCTACTGCATGCATATATAGTCTAAGATGCTACAGGAACATAGCTGGTGGTGGTTTCAATCCTTTGGAACGCATCATTCAATTTGGGGTGATCATCACGATTTGGGGGGTGTTTTTCTTTACCGCCAACCAGCCAGTGTTTTCCCCAACACAGACGTGATTTTCTCCATTATAGATCATGGGATTTGCTACTATGTGATACTAGCGCCCTTTCACTGTTTTTCCTCTCCGGCACCACCACCAGTCGTTGCCTCTGAAACAAAGAACTTCGTAAAATACCAATGTTTGGAACTGCCCACAGAAACACAATCAAACACAATCCCGCCCAACTTCTCTAATCTGTTTGTAATTTCACATATGGTTTATCAATTTCCACCTTGTTGACCCACTTCCATGCCGAAATCGGACCATCCCGTATACCATGGGCCTCGGTTCAACCTGGCATAGCCCAACATGTCCTTGAAGATGCCCATGTACGCGCAATTCAGTTGCGCCTGGAGCGGAACAATTGCCCGAAACGCCAAACGGCGGAACTGGGAAAATCATGTTTCCAAAGCCCATGGAATTGAGGTTCCATGATGAATATTGGGGGTTATATGTTCTGCATGCTGTCAGCAGTTATCATTGATGTATGTCCATTCAATTTCCATTGAGCATTGTCCAAAAACGAAAAAGATTTCCCATGATTTAAACCATTTCCTAGGGAAACACATGGATTTCCGATAATTAGCTATGTTAGTTATTTTCCAATATGTCCCTAATAATTAGTAACATATTTTCTAATATTTCCCATGATTAATTACCCATTTATCCATATTTGCCATGGATTTCCACGGTTTGCCCCCCGTTTTCCCCAAACATCTCAGCAACTTTTCCGCCCTTTTAGCTCCGGGGATCCAGATGATCCAGCGGAAGTTCCGTTGTGGCAAGGCGCAATCAAGAGGTTGAATAAGAAGATGGTGGTGCAAATCACAAAAATACCTCACTGCTCGAAAAGATTCGGATTTTCTGCAAGAGATCCACATCATCCACATCTGAGCCGAAAAAGGACTGGTACAATGATGTGAATGTGGTATCACTGATCCCAATTCTACATGTGAAGCTTATTTGAATGCATGCTACCAAAAACATGTCAGTATTTCATCCAGTAGGCGCAAACTGGGCCCCCTGTGTTTCTTGGGGCCCCATGATATCCCAGCTGTCATGCGCCACTTCCAAAACATCAAAACCTCAGAAAACATTCGAATCTTTGACTTGGCTAAACTTATCTTGGCTAAAGTTGCTTGGAATCTCCCAAAAACATGACTGATATGTCTTTAAGCTTCATTCCGTCTCAGTCTCATCTGCAGTAGCTCCCTCGGCCCCTCAGCTGGGGATCTTACTCACCGAAATTAATAACTTTGGCTCCAGTTCCAACTTCTGATACTCGTCGCTGCTGTACGTACCTCAGAACCCGGCGGTCACCGGCGGGAACTTCCGGGTTCCGCGGAAGGTACACAACCCGCGAAGAGATGCCGTGGTTCCGGGAGACTGATTCGGTTGGAGGTCTTTCAAGATAGAAGATGATGGAAGTGTGCTCTCACTATTCAATAGTAATTATATATATACACGTATATATATATATATATACACTATTCAATAGTGAAACCCCCAATATATATTTACAATAGTGACTATTGGATTTCATCTGGGTCAAAACAACGTTGCAATCAAAGTTCTGTTGCGTCGCCAAGCTTAGAGTAGATAGGCCGCAATCAACTTGGGTTGGAGCTGGTTGGTATCAATAATGTCCTTTTGGTAAAAATAGAGGGGCCGGTTTGGTATACCATCTATCATCATTTACTTGTGTTTTTTTTAAGGGGTAAACAAACCCCTCTGTTAATCAACCTCAACCAATGGGTAAAGGACATCTATGGTTGGTATATTACTCCTAATATTCCTCCATCGAAACGCAATTTACGAAACGCTCCATCTTCGCAAAATCATAGGATGATTTAGACAGACCTTAACGAATACTGTGGAACCAAGAGATGTTTTTCAAAAAGCTACTACGGTTGTATCAGATCCCCATAAACGAATGCCCAAAGATTTTGTGGATGAAACAAACAAAAAGTCTATACCCATAAATAGCCATCCATGTGGTTGACTCCATGGCCAGAGTTCGCCATGTCACTATTTATTTGGGAAGAACCCCACTTATTCTATAAATGGAAACACTTGTTTACACAAATAATCCGAGGGTTAGCTATTACAAGAATAGTAAACAGTGCTTTAAAAAATCCCAAGCAGCAATCATCAGCAATCAATGCTTAATCGAATCATATCTAATCAACATTGTTTGGCTCCCTCTGCTGCCATTGTGGCGGCTGGTGATCTTGGTGTTTAGTATTGGATCTATTTGTATTGGGGGGTCATTTTTTTTGGAGGCCTCCTTTGATATTAGGGAGAAAGGGATTGCCTCCTTTGATCCTTTGATATCCTTTGTTTGTGGTTTCAAGTTCCATTGTCAGCCACTTCATCACCAGCCACATGCCCCTCTCACTCCGCGGCATGTCAGGGATGATCCTTTTCGCCAAGGAACCGAGCATGATGCGCGAGAGGTTCCTAAGTCCGCTGTTTGTTGCAACCCCAAGAGTGAAATGAAAACACTGCGAAGGCTGCTGAGTAGGTGTTGCGAGGCTGCAAGTCAACTACAGTAAAATGCATGTATATAACTGTATATATCAATGCCCGTGAAAGAGGTGTCAGAATATACTGGCAATTTATGGTGTTTAAGTTTCATCTTGTCATGTTTGAAACTGTTGCTGCCTGTCTTGCTGGTGCCCCCGTTGGGGCAACCCTCATGTCTTAAAAATGTGTTTAAAATGTGGGATGCCCAGAATTCACCATATTCAGCATTGATTGTTGTTACCCTCTGGTAAACTAACATGGCTATTAAAAATGGCCATTTATAGTGAGTTTTCCCATTAAAAATGGTGATGTTCCATAGTTATGTTAGTTTACCAGAGGGTATTTCATATTATGTCCATTTACATTGAGGCGGAATTGTTCATTCTTCTTGGTTAAAAAAGTACGGCTACTCATCAAGATTCTCTCTCATGTATTTTTGGGATGCTGACCAGCGGAAGCAAGGTTCGCCAGCACCTCCCAATGCCTGGTAAACAAACAATTTGCAAATCCGCTCTGAATATTTTTAAAATGGGTTTTGTCTGAAAATAAGGTAATTAACCCAAATGTGATGTTTTATCAGCATTTTCTTCAATTGAATTGCCATCTGATCCGAAGAAGAAAAACTGAGTTCCACCCCTGCCGTTGGTTGACGTGCCGCTAGTAATGACGCGTGTCGAGATCCAGATCAAGAGCCATTGGCCATTGTTATTTCAAGTCGACCGAAACTGCTGGTCTTGATGGCGTTACCATCTCGATCATGTCACTTGGGTCCCAAATTTCTCCTCATCAAATCCCTATGTCTGTCCAGTTCTCTTCATCCAATCCCAAATTTTCTTCCATCATCTTGGATTCGCTTAAGCGGTCCCTCACAAATATATATATATATATATTCACTATAGATTCCCCATTTCTGGTGGATTTCCCATTGGGAATCCATTAAACAAAATCACCTTCAACAAACCCAGGTCATTTCCAGCGCAGTCTATGCCCAAGGCAAGGCGCAGCATGGCAGGCAGGATGTCTTCGAACTGCTGATCCACCACATCTGAGGAAGCCTCGGACGGCGGCTCGGGCTCGTTCAACGAGGCCAGGCTTTTTGCTCGGCGATTCTCTGAAGAACTTGGGAAATTTTGTGGAACATCTGGGAAAATCTGGGAAAATCTGGGGTTTAAGCATCCCAAACGGTGATTGAGAATAGGATCTCTCTGGTGATTTGTTCTGGTGATTTAACGGGAAATTTATGGAAAACGATGGCAACATTAATGGGAAAGATTTAAGGTGTTTTCTCGGACACTAAAAAAGGGATGTGATGGTTTAAAACCAACCAACTAGAATTAATCCTTTCCCCTAAACTTTCAAACCACCCCCCGGAAACCATGCTTTAGTGGAGAATTTGCATATGGCACCATTTATGTCATGTGGGGGATGAGAATATGTTGGGAAGACTTAAGGGAATACCATCTACCAAATGCATATAAGCAACTACTGCATTTGTTTATACCCATAGGCCCGTAGGTGAACAAAAACAAACGCTTCAAATGCATTTATGAGTGATTGCTGATGATTAATAAGCCCCAATATAATAAGCCCACACATTCTTGGGGAGGTTTTGCCGTACCTGGGTGGATTAAATCTCCATGAATAGCAGCCAACAAAAAATGATAGCAAATTCCTATATACTAAAACAGTGCCAGTGATCAATTGCCATCTTTTTTGTGAGCTACCATCCTGAATATTTCACATAATCGTACGATGCTTGATCATGATTGACAAGTAACAGACTGAGTAACATCATATATTTGAATATACCTGCAATATCCTGAAATATGCTGAAATCATGAACTCTAATGCTTCATGTTCAAAGCGCCAGCCCAAGACATCCAGTTTTAGAAGACGGGTTTTCCGTTTTTTTTGAATCATTGTTTTTGAATATGTGTTCCAACATGATTGGGTTTGGAAAACATATTCAAAGATTGTGTGTGTGTGGGTCATTCATGTCTTAAACTTGGCCTATTTATATTGAAATACGATAGGGCCTATGTTCAACCCCCCAAACAGGATTTCAATGTTTAGTTCTATACATTGAGGTACATATAGATAGTTCAGGTGTTGGTATTCCGAATAATCTATCCAAATATTGAGAGTCATTCTCCCATTAAACCCACTGTGTCTATATCCCCAGAGGGTACCCATTCATCTTAAATATTCAATCTCATAAACCTATGATGGGATAATCCACAAGATCTTCTAACATTGATTGTAATTGCATGGTAGCAGATCCCATAAATCTGGTAACCGATTCGCATTACCCTCTGGTTCTTGACAACACGACGATGAAAAATGGCCCACTTAGTTCGATGAACTGCGATGCTTCACCTATCATGTCAATCGTGATTTTCCATAGCTAAAACCAACTTATAGATTATTTATAATGACTTAGCTGTTATCATTCTATATGTACCATCATCATCATCATCATCATCATCAAACATGGTGATTTTGGATAGCTACGTTAAGCATATCGTTGAATAAGCCGATATGTTCCACCTTTTATCATAGCGAGACATCGCACCGAGTGTCGATGGCACAACCAAAGGCAACCACTACAAAGAAGAGGGCGAAGAGATACTGAGCTACCTCCTGCAAGGTAGGCCCCGGTTGAAAAGTACGAAGTGAGCTACTTTACCAGCAAAACTGGTGATTCACTGGTGGTTTATAAATGTTTATAATGGGATTTAGCTAAGTCGACTTATATAAATCATTCTGTGAACATTATTGGGCTTATGGGAGATATAACGAACTAATTGGCATAAAATCACCCTGCGATTTTTCACCGATCGGGACCAATTTGCAACGGGTATCAACTCACCAAGTTTCACAGACAGAACCTTCGTTTGTCGATTCTTTGGTGACATTGAGAGAGGAAAATCAACAGGGCAACCTTCGTTTTGATGCTAAAACCATGCATCTCTTGATGTTGTTTCCTTAAGTCAAATGCGTGATCAAGTTAGTGCTTCAATGGAGTGGAGAGCTGTTGCTCCTGGTGAAAGGTGAGATATATTTGGGGAAGGGATGGAAAGGGTCCATGAAACGACTCAAGGGCGATCAGGGTGCAACTTTGGATCATATCGAAGCAAGCTTCACACCAGTGGGTAAACAAATTCTGGTGGTTTCATGTGGTTTCAGCACTTCCTATATCTTTCTATCATGTGGGTCTGCAGAGATCATCATATCACATAATTCTCACGGTGAGGCTCCAGTTACTTGGTTGGCTGCCATGCAAGATCAAAGATACTCATGTCATATCTTATAACCATACTTAAAACCATATGTAGCCACATTAAAAGCCAGTCATATCTGGGAGATACACCAGTTCTACCGTTGCAAACGGAAGGGGCCCCACGGCCCCTGGTGTCGTCCTGAACCATCCTTCCGCAGACCAAAACCTGGACCGGCAATGGCTCGATCTTCAGCGATGTTTAAAACGTCTACTACTTGGGGGTGCACTAATGGCACTAATAGAGTTAGGTGTTTAGATTGTTTTATAACCATAGTTGTAGGAGCTCTATCCCAACTTATGGACGTGATTACCATAGTATACCATAGTTATCTAATTCACAATTCATAACCCCAACTGCGCCCCCAAGTAGGCCCAAAAAACATAGCCCATGTTTGGAATGCGTCTTGATGGTTGACCGTTCATCATCCCTAAGGTGGCATGGGACCGATGTTTCCTGTCATGTGCTTTTTTACCACTCAGCTGGGCTGTTGAAATCTTCATCTCTACCCAAAACACTGTAGCTATCCACCAAAAATCGACCGGCAGGAGCACAAAATTTTACACACAGATCAAGGCAGAGACGAGCAGCAAAAGTGGACAATTTGGTGGAGAAGACTGTCAACTCCAGCAACAGAAGGAAGTACCTCAGTACGAGGATTCAGAAGCAAATGATCTGTGGACACCTAACAATGATGAGGCTGGGCGGCTAAGTTCTATGCATAGGTATATCACACATGTCCATTGCCAATATTTTCGTGATACATACCTAACAACTCCACAGGGCAGCCCTGCAGCGTCCATCAACAGTTCAAGGGGCTCCAAAAAGCATACTCCCTTGTCCTACTTGGAAGTGCAGTTCCAGTTATAAGTGGATATGGAGATCCATAACCATGGTTATACCCATTTGCAACCTCAACTGCGCTCCCAAGTAATTACTCTATGAGACACCCAAACAAACGACGGGTCAGGGGAAGATCTAGTCACCAACATAGTTCCATCTAGAGGCTGTCATCCAAAACCGCTGCTTGACCTTCCTACATCTTCCTACATCTTCCTAGCCATGGGCTTACCCAAATCAACTCCTAGGCAAACCACTGACATCTGACCCCATCTGACCCCTACGTTGCAGAGCATCCGCCGGAAAAAAGTTCAAATTGCCATGGTTTCTGGCACGGGAAACCCGGGAAACCCTCCAGCACTGGTTTCATCTTTGCAGTGACCATGAGTTCCCAATAGGAGAATCATCTGTTGATCATCCCAGGAATGAATCGCACTTGACAAAAATAGCCCTGGCATCCTCTGGCCATCGTAAGTCCAAGTCCCATATGGATCCATAGGGCGGTTCCTAAAGTATGGCTCCAAACCATTGGTTTTCCCATGGATCACGACCAATTTTGGATTTTGGAATCCCTAATTTTAGGAATACGCCCCACAATCATCCTCGTATGGTCCCCAAGATGCGTCGAGACACAGGAGCGTTGCTAAGAATGCAAAGGTGACATAGCTGCCAATGAGATCCTGGCTACACTCCTACTTGTGCATCGCCATGGATGGCCATGGGTTTTAGGAAGTGATAGCTCGGAACCTTAACCTTTTTTGAATTGGTTCTTTCAGAAAAGTCAGCAACCTGATATAAGGTCTTAAAGTACTAGTCGTATGACGCAAAAAAAAAAACAACGAACAAGTAGGGTGATCTTGTGAAAAAAACATGGACTCAGGTCATATACCTTCGCAGGATGCATTTGGTTAGTCTACTCCATTTGCTTACCACCTACCAATTGGGCATGGGTTGAATTAATATGGGTTTAATTTGCTTGTCCATGCAAACCACATAGTAGAATATCAATTTGTCATGTGTCCACCAATTCCAAATACACATCGATATTTGGTTGACAGATTCACCCCCACTTCAAACATATGATCGTCATTGGGTTCATCATCCCAAAAAATGCTTGAACATGCATTGAACATTCAAAGAAAAATGAGACATTTCCAGTACACAGATTTTTTCTATCATGGAATCATGATTTCTTTCTTCTGATCAGAAAACATCTAAGAAACATTAAGAAACCTTAAATCTCTCCAAGATTTCCCAAAAGCTTGGAGCCTTGGAGGATCTTGGAGGTATACCAGGTATAGCCCTCCCCACATCTCCACCGGACCGGGGAAGCCATCGCCGCGCCTGGACGCCTTGACAGGTGGCATCCAACTCCGAGAACTGCTTGTCGTTCTGCGCGTGGTTTCCCAGGCAGTGAAGCAAGGGCTCCTGGGAAGCGCTGGGAAGCGCCACGCGAGACATCGCCACGCGAATTTCCAGCTGTTCAACTGTTGGGGAAGACGTGAAGCCCGCAAATTTTACAAATGCCAACATTAAATCATGAAGCTAAGTGAAAAGATGTTAAATGAATTAAATGATATTAAATTTTCAATAGTCCCCAGAAATCCCCAGAAATATTGAAATATCCATCAATATGGAGTCAGGTCCTGAAATGACAGCATTTGCCGAAAACCTTTGTAACCATTGCACGGTCGCCCGTGCGCGGGTGAACAAAAACTCCCTTGGGTTACGTTTCCATGAGGTGATCTATGGCCAATCTTAGAAACCTTGGGAAAAATCGCTGGTGAGTTCCCCATGTTCCCCGGAGATATTCACGTACCAAACTACCCATCCAAGCTTTACCCAGTGATATATCCGTTCAATGTCAATTAATGTACAAGGTGGTGCCCCCCCAGTTATAAGTTGGTTTATAGTCCCATTAACTATAGATATATCTACCATAAATCCTAGTTATTAGAGTTATGAACCAATTTAGCTATCTTGGGGGCACCACATTGTATTGGTAAAACCACCATATTTGTTGGTTTATATCATCACCAATAAATCCTTAGATCCACCCCAATGTTGATGGCATAAAATATCTGATCAGCTTCGCATGAAGTCAGTATGTTTCCCCTCTGGTAATTTAACATAACTTTGGAGAAAAAAAAACATTTGAAATCATTTGAAGACAATGTAGATATTAAATATATTCTGGTATATCATATGGTTATTTCTATGATTTTCCATGGCTGTGTTTCAAAAAATGCCAGAGATCCAGAGAGTATCATATTTCTTTCTGGCACCCGGCCTGGTAAACGTTCACATAACTATGGAAAATCACCATTTTTAAAGAACAAAAACCATTCTAAATGGCAATTTTCCAGTTCGCAAACTGTTTGTTTACCAGAGGGTATATGTATCCCATTAATATCCCATTGAATCACTATAACATACTATAATATCCCATTAAATCCCATTGAATCCACCATTCTTCCTGGTGGAATCCACCTGGTTAGCACGACCCGGTAGCCATCCTGCGCCAGCATCCCCATCAGTACGGTACACAGCGATGCGCTCAAGGCTTCCTGAATGACCCACTTGGGGGATCGTCCCTCGGAAAAAAAAAGGTTCGCCGATCCGTGGGTTATCATGTCACCTATATAAACCATATATAATATATTGATATATCATATATATATATAATCACCATAGAATATCCCACCTATATCATATTGATATATTGATATATTATGATATATTATGATATATTGAAATGATATATTGAGAATGCTATTCAGGGGGATATATTCATAATATATCCCCATTCATGATACATATATATATAGGATAACCCCACAGATCCGGGACTTCCTAACTGGGATGATCCTCCGACTCTGAGGGATTTAAGGGGTTCTAAATTGGGTTATCCATTGATTTTAAGGTCAAATATAGGTCAATTTCGTTAATCTAAAAACATATTGTTGAGGGGTGATCAACGGACTGATTCAAAGGAACATCAACCAGAAAGTCACCACTAGATTTTCCTTCCAATTCTGGGAGCTTGTTGACCACCATGAACCGCCAGTCCCGAACTTTTTCAGGCTCATTCAAAACAAGCTCGTTGTGAAATTGTGAAAAAAAACCGTTCCAGATTCCAGAAAAACTTACCCTCTGGTAAACTAACATAACTATGGAAAATCACCATTTTTAATGGGTAAATCCACTATAAATCACCATTTTCAATAGCAAACTGTTAAATTACCAGAGGGTATGTATGGTTGGCATCGAGTTTGCCACACAGGAAGTATCACATGATATCTCCAATTCTACTGGCGACACTTGGGCGGTGTGCCAAGTTAACTTTTTCTGGAGACCGCCTGGCGACAACGGGCTCCCATTGCAGCTGGATCCAATCCCTTTACCTAATGTTTTTTAACCAACAAAAACAGAACTGGTTGGTGGTATACCTACCCCTTGGAAAAAAGATGAGTCCATGGGAAGGATGACATCCCATATTATGGAATATAAAAAATGTTTGAAACCACCAACCAGCGAAATACTGATCTGTTCATTTTGGGGTCCCATTAATGGTCCCATATTAGTTGCGGGATTCACTGAACCAAAATCGGGGATTTCGCCATTCGACTAGCGATGTCAACCTCGCTCCCCACGAATCCATCCCCATACCGTCCAAGAGGCTGAGAAGTGCAGCAGGTACTCTGGAATGGGGAGAAACGCGATCCTCAGACGGTAAATTGGGCCAAATTTATGAACAGAACTATGGAAACTGCACATTGAATGTCTTGAGATATGGAATTTCATAGGTCATGTAATTTTTGCCAAACGTGGGAAGTGAACCAACTGCAACCCGGACGAAAAATGTTCAAGAATACTGTGGCCTCTGGTCATTTAACATAGCTATGGACAATGGACCATTTATAGATGGTGTAGCTATTATAGGCTCATTTTCCATAGCTTTTTGTTAGTTTACCAGAGGGTAATTTCCTTTGCTGGTTGAGTTCCATTTCTTCAGGGGAACAACATGACACTTTGATGGGGATCCCACCATATCCCCATTAAAGTCGGACTATATCCCAAGGTGACCCAGATAAATACCAATCCTCATCTTGACTGTGATGTGCATATATATATATACACACATACATATGTATGTATATACATATATATATATATCCAAGTATAGTCCCACGAAACCAGAAGAAAAATAAAAATAAAAATGTTACTACGCCATCAGCACCGTTATTTTTGTTGGTTAAATCATTCTCACTAGTATCCATTTAACATCATTTAAAACAATTATATCACAAAAAAAACGCATTTTTTGTTGGTTAAATCCCTCAATGTAGCCAGTATACCGTTGTAAATTATCAACCTGCGCGGTTCTTTTGGTGAAATCCAACTTAAGTTGGGTACCTGCAAGGTGGTGCCGCACAGATAGTGTTGGTAAAGCAATAAACCACCCAATCTTACAATAAATGGGTGCTATAAACTATATTAAACTATAAACCATGAATTTATGTTTTTGTTTTGCTAACAGTATATAGATACATACATTCATACATACATACATTACATGACATGACATGACCTTACCTTACTTTACCTTACATTACATGTACATATATATATAATATCACAAACCCTGGGGATGGGACTTTTCAACCAACTTACTAAACTGGGTATCAGCGCAAGTGGAGTCGCAACTCTTCTCGCAAACCCAGGAGCTTGCGCACTTCACCGTTACGGCAAGCTTTAGAGAAGTGATACCTCGCCGGAAGAGGGCGCAACTGGCGGGAATGAACAAAAAAAATGCAATCAAACATGCAAGTAAGTACGCTCTGGTCATTTTAAATAGCTATATTTCGATGGCCATTTTAGGAACCTAAATTGGAGGTACCTACCATAAATAAGGCCTATGTAAGGGAATATCCCACAAAATATGGACTTATATGGTACAGTACCTCCATTTTAGGATCCTGAAATTCCCATTGAATATTGGTATGGATGGCCCATATAGTTCGATGATTTACCTATAAACAAATGGTGGTTTTCTATACCTGTGTTAAATTACCGGAGGGTGAGGGTGTGTACATACAACCAACACCATTTTTGGGGACGATAATTCAGGAAAGACGGGTCCATAACCAGCAGGAAATAGGTATAAAGTCTGTCAATCCAAAATGACGATAGGAAAAGCCGTCTTGTTTGATATCAATGGATTGGTTTAAGGGAAAATTTACAGGAAACCCCCGTATATCATGGGAAAATCCAGGATTTCCTGTAGAATTTCCCTTAAACCAATCCATTGATGACAGGAAAGTCATGAATGAACTCACCCATGGGCATCATGTCACTTGTATCACCGAAATCTCATTCTATGACATCTGTCCCATATCATTCAAGTGCAAACACGCAACAAACACAGAGGTAAGAATCAGTGATACCCTCTGGTAAATTAACATAGACCCTGGCAGATAGGGGTTGGAAGATTAGTTTCCATTAAAAATTGGTGATTTTCAGGGTCTATGTTTATTTACCAGAGGGTAAATTGCATCCATAAGACTGTTGATGAACATGGTGACAATGGCTTAAATCCCATAAAACTATGACGAGAAATTCCCTTCAAGCCTTGATGCAAGGGATATAAGGGATGGAAAAGTTGACGGAATCCAAGCCATCAAAAAAGGGATGTTTTTTTCAGCAATCATAGGGCCACCAAGAAGTATGATAGATCACTTGGATATTCCCTGCTAATCCAAGATGGCAATCAAGACATGTTCATTATTCATAGTAAATATCATCATCAAGTCATTCGGTGATATGAAATGGCTATCGAAAACTGAGCCCCTTCTTAATCCCCAAACACTGTTGGAATACTCTTGGATAGATGATGGTAACAACCTCGGCTTTGTAGCTGCAGAGCCAAGGCTTCATGGGTGACACCAAGTCGCCGGAGTATCACCGGCTCAGCATTGACCAAGATGCATGTGGTGAAGTACCAGCTGTCCCAAGCCGAAGACGTAGATGAAGATTCGACCAATGAACACGGCCTAAGACTAGCCGAACTGAGGGAACCCTCTGGTTATTTAACATAGCCATGGGAAATGGCCCATAGAAATAGATGGTTTACCGTTCTTAAAAATGGTGATTTTCCATGGCTATGTTAAATAACCAAATGGTAAGGGATATGAATGGATATGATCATAAGTACTGTACATAATAAATATAGAGAAGGAACACCGAATGCCATAAACCATCAACCAACCATAATCAACGGGGGTCATAATCAACATCATCCCAGTGCTAGACATATGCCCAATTTCATAGGCACAGTTGACTATGGGTTGCCATTTTTTCCTGTTACCAAAATGGGAGGCACCCTTCCTCTATGCAAGGTCTACACAAGTCCTATGCAAGTTGTCCAACCAAGGCGTAGTCGAAAATATTGCAAAGTACCACTGTTTTAGAATATCCGAATGGAGCCCGGTCCTTTTTTGAAAGGATTGATGGTTGCAATTTTAGCTTGATTGGACTGATTTGAAGACAAATACCCCCAAGAAATCCCCAAGAAGGATTTTGGCAGGCTTTGGCCGCATTCGGGTTTCCATTGAATCTGCACAACACGCGATCAACGTTGTGGTGGCAAAATTGTTGGATGATGTCTTGGGGTATGTGCACTATAAATGATTCTAGAATGTTATATGAATACATATAAGTACACATTCCATGGTCATTTATAACATTCTATAACATTCTATATATGTGTACTATAAGTACATGAATGAACTGGGCTATTTGCCAACCCCAGCTGTAAGAGACATTGAATTCAGCGTGAAGCTGCTGCTTTCGTGCTGTTTTCAGGGGGTTGCCAAGCTCATCAGGTTAGCCAAGAAATGGATAGAAATGGGGGATACGGGAAAAAAAGCAAATCTTACTTCTGAAGCATAGTGAAGCATAGTGTTAAGTAGGAATTACCCTCCAGTAAATTAACATAGACCCTGACATTTTTAGGGGTTGGAAGAAACTCGTTTCCACTCAAAATGGGTGATTTTCAGGGTCCAACTGTGAATTTTCCAGAGGGTACATGGAATTACTCCCTGTGAATCTGATCCTGGGACATCTTGGGACTAGGACAGCATGTTGTGCCAAGCCAGGCCATAGGCACATCTTGTTCATCCATGGGCTCATCATTCCCCGGTTCCAACTTGGGATCTGAAGAACCCTGGTTGATGATGAAAAACCAAACGACATGGACATGGCTCATGTAGTATTTTAATGTATGTTATCATCGTCTAAGTCTAAATCAAAGCCTCTGGTTCCAAGCTTATTTCGAGTTGAACATGCGAGGAACCAGCATAAAGTACCACAAGTGTGAATACATGAAGAGGGAATCCTACCAAACAAAAACGGAATGTGGGAAATAAGCCCTTGGATGGTTGGATGCTGTGCCAGAAATTGAACCATGTCACGCCATGTTCACCTGCCCTTATGTCGGCTTACCTAAATACCATCATAACCCACCCCCATATGTGTTTGTTCACGAACTTCCCATTAAAATATATATACACATATATCTTCTTCAACATGTAGGGGTTTCTTTTCATGGGGGATCTTCAAAAACCATGGGAAACACTACTAACATGTTCTAAGTTTGGATGATTTGGGAGTAGCCCCATTTATGGAAACCCACATGTTACTCGTTTAAAGATGTTTACCCTCTGGTAAACTAACATAACTACGGACAATCACCATTTTTAATGGGTAAATCAACTATAAATGGCAATTTTCAATAGCAAACTGTTTGTTTACCCGAGCGTATATCCCACTGATATCCCATTGAATCACTATAAAATCCCATTCAAATACCATGAACTCACCATGAAATCACTATTTTTTGTCCCAAACAAATCGGCTCCGATCCCAGGTGCCATGATCGATGCAGAGGATGACTCCCCGGAGTAGTTGGTGAAGACGGCTTGAGTCACCACGAAGACCAGCAGATTCAAAAGGAACCACAACCTGCACAGCTTGGCTTCAGCCGCTTCGGCACGGTGTTTTTTGTGGTTGATTTCTGGTAGTACCAAGGATTGATTTTTTGCCTGGAACAATGTAGCTATGGAAATTTTTGAACATTTATATTTCTATGGTTTATGGTAGATGTACCTATGGAAATCGGTTATAAACATTTATAAAGCAAGAATCTCCAATAATATGAAATATCAAGCGGAACCACAACCTGAAATCTATGGTTTACGGATGTTTATTGCGGATATATCTATATACTTTGTTGGGGTGTATAAACCCATAATATGAAATATGCATAAATATGAATATGCAATCAATATCAACCAATACCCTGCGATAGTCAAGTATGGCAATCGAAAATCCTCGAACTAAACGAAGGTTTCAGTGGAAAATCATCGAACAAAATGGTCGATGTTCCATTTGTATGTGTGAAAAAATTATAAAAAATGATTATCGGAGGGTAAAAGGGACACAAAAATATGAATAGATTCAATACTAAACCAAGGTTTGGGGGGCACTATCGAGGGTTCAAGGGTTAGAATGTTCCTGGCAGGTCCACGGTCTTCCGGCTGGGTCTTGTACAGCTGGGGTCCCAGCATCGCTTCTGGGAAACTGCATGTTTGGGGGTTGATGATGTCTTTTCTAGAGTGGAGCGTGGTTACTAGGTTACTATGAAAACTAGATGCTTCATTGCTGCGAGAATTACGAGATGCAAACTTTGGTACTGCATTTTGGGATATTTTGGCTCATAGCCGGAATCACGGGCGTAAGTAGGAACCTTCCTAGATCTTTCAGGGCCAAGCGGGCCAAGCTTGGCGTTGCTCCAAAATTCGGTGCCCCAAACCCATTGGTCTCCCGAGTGTAAGTGACAGGTTTGTCATGATCTTGGGGTCCCCCATTTCAAGAGCCCATATAATAGCTGGATCTTTATGGGGCTGGGTGGTATTCATGGTCACTCTTTGGTATGATTGTATCATATTGTATCCCTAGAAACCCCTATAAATCCTTATAAATCCCCATGGTAATGACATCAATGTGTTTTTTTCAAGGCACTTGCTGGTGAGGAAGGTATAGGACGCCAGTCTGGACCACAGGATATCCTGTAGATACACGGCGGACTTTCCAATGCTTGTTTGAAGCGGCAAAAAAACAGGGAATGTTGCCAAAAAGTGAGGATCGACATGCAAAAATAGTATTGCTTTAATCAACAACACTTGGGATTTCCCAAAACAACAAAGCAATATGGAGCAATCATGTGGATTTTGCTAGCATCAATTCCGGGTTGAAGCCAAATTATTGCGCAACAAATCTGAAGGAATAGGTGTGCATTCAGGGAAATCTATTAGTGAAACTTAGGGTTTGACATGGCTTTACCATCCAATCATCCACCTTTCTGGGGACTTCAGTTTTTTTCTTAAACCGATTGCTACAGTAGATCCCCTCGAAACCCCAGGATCCCCCACACCCTGGATTCTTCAAGTCTCTTGGCACGGAAAAAAATGTGCATCCCGGAGTATTAGATTGTTTTTAATGGTTGAGCCACTTGCTTCTAACCATAGTTGATCATAGTTGTAGCTAGTTAGATTACATCTAGTATGAGAATTAGTTTCGATAGGTGCAATTTGCTTCTAACCATAGTTGTATAAGCCATAGTTATGATTACCACCTGGTTATTAACATAGCGAACTGGAAAATTGCCCATTTACAGATGATTTTCCCAGCTAGAAACCTCCAGTAAATTAACATAGACCCTGCCATTTTTCGGGCTTGGAAGGAACTCGTTTCCACTAAAAACATCTGATTTTCAGGGTCCAACTGTTTATTTACCAGAGGGTATATCCCATTCATATCCCATTGAATCACTATAAAATCCCATTAAATCACTATAAATCCCATTAGATCACCATCTTAAAAATATAGATACTGGATATGGGCCCCAGTTCTTCACCGAGCTCACCGAGCATCTGCGGAGAGGATCACTGAGGGATGACACGCCGCCACCGGATCACCGTTCACCTCGCTGGGAGCTGCATCGTGGTGGACGAAGCGATGTGGGAACCTCTGGTTATGACTAACATAGCCATGGAAAATGGTCCATTTATAGATGGTTTACCTGTTTACCTATTAAAAATGGTGATTTTCCATGGCGAAATGTTAAATAACCAGAGAGTAACCTTTGGGATTCTGAATGGAAAGAATAACTGCCTGGTGCTTGAGCCACCCCTCTGAAAAATATGAGTTCGTCAGTTGGGATGATGACATTCCCAACATATGGAGAAAAAAAAAGTAATGTTCCAAACCACCAACCAGATAAGATAAATATAGGATCAATTTTATCCTGGTAACATTTTGCATTTATCATATGATCTCTTCGTATAGACTCATGTTAAAGACTTGATAAGATCCTGAAATTTGAAAGCAGCCTGAAAAATCACCAGAGCACTGGCTTCGATATGCTTAAGGACCCCAAATGGTGGACCTCACATTGGGAAATGAACACGTCACCGGTTCACCCAGGCTGGTTTCGCAGAAGCTAAGCCTAGTCACCACCACATCTCTGAAAGATTCCTCGGAGCTCAGCGCTGCAAAGAAGGCAACTGGTTAATTAAACAAAAAAAACAACAGTTATTGCCGTCCTGAAAACCAACACATTGAGTTTGAAGATGGAATTCTGGAAGTTAAAATCTTTGGCAACCCGTCACTGCGGGCATTCCTGCTGTATTAAAGCGGATCAAGTTACATAGTAATGAATCAATATCCAGGGTCTCGCCAGGCAGCCCCCGCGGGGACCCAGAAATAAACTTTGCAAAAACATATTCAGTAATTGAAGCTTCCATGTGCTTCCATCAGGTTCCAAATGGTTACACAACAGCCACTACACAACACATGACTCATGACGAGCTCGGAATCCAGATATCTTGTCCAAGTGATCCGGGTGAAATCCCCCGATGTGGACATCTCTGGACATCCTGATCTGCGAGCTTCTGAGAATTCATTCTTGGCATCCACGATCATGTACCTTTCAAGCTTTGCAGCTGACTGCGGAGTCACTCTTTTGTTGAAAAACATGATGAGGAATTGACAGCATCAGTGATGAAAAAATGGTTCTACGCAAAAAAGATATCGGCTCTTTTTTGGAACATATATGGTTCAGAATGACGGCATGTTGGAGAAGTTTGCTTCAATCTTTGGGGGCCCCATGAGCCCGGCACTTGATGAAGTAGTTCACACGTCTCATGCCGTTGTGTGTCTGTCGCGAACGCCAGATAAGCCCATCGAAAAGCGTGGGCAAGAGTTCAGGTCCATCTTGGCAGATCCTGCGCGCTTTTTCAGCGATGCTGGGTGCTGAAAAAAAACATCTCGATTCCCAAGTTAAGATATCTGATGATATCTGTTCAACTGTTCAACCAAACACAATTAGATACAGTAATTACATGTAATTACCATTGGGGGGGTATCTGATAGTTAAATCTAATTAAAGTACTCACAATTATCACACGGCGAGGTCCGTCGAGATCCCACAGCGGCCTTCTAACAATGTCTGGGTGGCGGTTGAACAAGGCATCCTGGGCAACGCAACGGGAACGCTGAACGCTGGCTGCGAATTCGATTTAGGGATTCCTCCTGTGCTCCGGTGATGAAGCATTGTTTGCTGAGAAATTCATGTTCGTATTGTTTACCCTCTGGTAATTTAACATAGCTATTGAAAATGGCCATTTATAGTGGATTTTCCCATAAAACATGGTGATTTTCCATAGTTATGTTAGTTTACCAGAGGGTAAGTAATGAAAAAAGGCATCGTTGTTCGATCACAACGTTCGCATCCAAACTCCTCCGGCAACGTTCCAAGTTCGTTGAAAGAAAACACCGATTAAAGCGACAAACATAGACTGAACAATCACTGGTTATAGTGGTATACCTACCACCAACCAGATAAGATAAATATAGGATCAAATTTATCCTGGTATTTATATGGTATTTATCATATGATCTCTTCGTATAGACATGATGATAACGGCCTGATAAAGACCTGATGAGACCTCTGAAATTTGAAAGCAGGTGGTTTTACAGATTCGATGGGAGATCTCCAGGATCCAACAGATGGAGGTACTGTACTGTACCATGTTAGTACCATATTTCTGGCCATATTTTGGGTGGATATCCCCTGAAATTTAGCCCTGAAAAATAGGGGCTATCGGTCGTGGGGCAGATCACGAGATCCATAAAAAGCCATGGCCGCCATGGCCTGGCTGCCTGGGGACATCGTTAACTATAGATTACCCTCTGGTAATTTAACAGTTTGCTATGGAAAATCACCATGCTACTAATGGGAACATCCACTATAAATGGCAACTTTCAATAGCTATGTTAGTTTACCGGAGGGTAGTTGAAGGGGAAATCTACAAACAACATCAAACAACCATTAACCATGCTTTTCCCTATCCTTTTTTTGGGGTTTTCAATGGTTTTCACGAACAAATACCGAACAAACAATGCAATGAACAACCATATAACCATTTAGAGGTCTTGAAATCATTGAAATCTACTTGCCCCTGTGAGCTCGTAAGTGAAACGTTGGTGGACTTCCAGGGCTTAGGGCTTGACTACTTCCCCCTGTGATCTTCCAAGCATCCATGGCATAGTAGTAGTGGTCCCGATCTGCGCGGATGGTCAACAAATCCGTCAGAATGGCCTGCGAGTAGAATTGGGCTGGAAAATTGCCCTTTGATAATACTTGATGCTCCTATTGAGAATGGTGTTTGTCCATAGCTATGTTCATTTATGATCATTTATGTTCATTTAGTGGATGGTAAACATATATCTAAAATCCTTTGATAAAGTAAGAGGATTATGACAAGATCACTTCTGTTTCATACGGACTTCAAACCACCAAAATTGAAGGGCACACCTTTTCCGCGATGACTTTTCTAAAGTACCTAACAGCGTCTTAGACGATTGACACACTACGACGAACTTTGGAGCAATGTATACCGCATTTGCCCAACGTCCCCATTGGGTCATCTGAGTCATCTGGCAGGAGGCAAGAACGATACCGTTGTAATTTAAAACAATGCCATCATGTTGCCCCCATTACATCCTTATCATTCCTTATCTTTCAAGTCATTGGGCATATATTCAGAACCATGCGCCCAAAAATCCGAGTTTGGCATCGGGTTTACCACATAACATCCCTTTGCCGTTGCCGCATGTTTTCCCCAATCAAACCCATATCTAGCCATATATAACCATAATTTACCACTCATTTACTGGGTGGCATGCAGTCATTTAACATCATTTATCCTCTGGTAATTTAACATAGCTATTGAAAATAGCCATTTATAGTTGATTTACCCATTAAAAATTGTGATTTTCCATAGCTATGTTAAATTACCAGAGGGTAACTATGTGTCAACTCATCACGTCAAATCTGTGACACGGGACCCGTTGCTTGACCATGTTTGACCCCCAACTCCATCGTTTCAGGGAAAATAAAGTACAGGAAAGCCTTACGGTACATGTTCAGGTCAAAATCAGAGTTTCAACCGTAAATTTTCTATTGAAACAAAGCACCTGGATGAATTTCATCCCACAAACTTGAAAAGTAAGGCATCAAATGAGATAGTTATATAGAAAGCATATTTTCTGTGGTAACGCCGGCAGTATCCAGAAGCATTGACCCTAGACTTTCGCCTGTCCAGCTTCCAAACTTCCACTTTGAATACTCCAAAGCAGCGGCGAGATGGACTGCGTTCCTTGGGGCCGACAGCCGTTCAAGTCGTAAAGGTAGAGATCTCATCTTACCCTTCCACGTTAGCCCCAAACAAATCAGAACCCATGGGTATTTGTGGAAGTGGGTCAAAAGCCTGGGGCCCCAGCACAAACATACTGTTAACGGATGTTCAACTCTCCAAATATGGATCTTCAAGCAGGTTTTGATCCATTTATGCCACCGATAAAAAACCTTGGGCCAATACAAATTGCAGTGGAAAGTCCATGGAAAGTCCCGTTTTTTCTGATAGGAACATCATCTATGGTGGAATTTGATGGAGTTTTCCACTTGCCAAGTTTGAGTGCAAGAGCGGTTTCAACCCGAAAAAAAACATGGACGTTTTGGCGGGTTCCTTCATCTTTTCGAAAGGGATGATCATGGCAACTGGGGGGCAGCACGACTATCATGTGATTTTTTAGTTTAAATTCTTGATCAAACTAGTTAGTCGTGTTTATAACAAAGAAACACATTAAACTTATCACTGGGGGGCAGCACCGTGTAAGATGTCTTGAGTCTTGTCTCGAAATGAAACAAATCAAACCGAGGAGCCGCTACTCGATCATACCCACGTGATGCCACGAGTCAATCTATTCCTTAAATAGAAAAGATACAAGATGAACACTATTTCCAGTACATCATTCTTGTGGTTTGGTGTATCCTATATACATATATCCATTTGATGTATATAATATATATATATATTGTTTTATCCATATTGTCAAAAACAATGTAATATATCCATAGTGTACATAACATTTATGTATATAATAATCTATATATTTATATAATGTATCATGTATGTATATAATCATACATATATATATATATTATGTCAATGTCAAATGTAAGTATCGGCAAGCAGCCAAAATTTGCCAGGCGCCGAGCCACCCACTTGTACCCTCAACATCCATTCCGCTCGTTGCGCACGAGGTGCGTTGCTCACGGCCTGGCCGCTTTGATGTGTTTGTTCAGGTTCCCATGGCCATGAATTCATGGGAGTTTAAAAGGAGTTTAATGTGATTTTATAGTGATTTAGTGGGACTTTAGAGTGATTTCATGGGATTTTACGGTGATATATATTTATATAAAAGATTTTGAGGAATTTCGAAGTGAGAAGTAGGATTTCTGAGATTTCAAACGTGAACCCTGAGAGGAAACATGTTGTGGAAGATGTTTGGCAATGGACCCTTTGGGACCATGTATCTAACGGTAATGGCCAAACAGGGGGTGTCAGCTAGGTAGAATCAGAAGCTGCAAAAAAAAACAATTGAATTTTCCTGGACAAACAACTTTAAGGCGCATGTCACACAGAGATACACAGACACCCTGGAGTTTAAGTCCTAGAAGTAAAAACTGGAAACACAATGAAACACATGCAAGTTGCAAGATGCTGGAGCTGGACCCTGCCGGCTCACGGTTTGTGGAAAGCCACAACTAGGGCAAATTCTGGCGACTGGTGTCAGCCCAGGATTAGTGAAAAAAGGGGGAGTGCACCAATTTGGGTAATAATTCATATATCAACATCTTGGGGATTACTAAATATCAAGGGTTACCAATCTGGGGTTGACGCTTAAATTCCGACGATTTGAAATGATGCTTAAGACTCTTAAGGGATGATTCTTCCAGTGAGGCCCAAGAGGCCAGAATCCATGGTGCTGGAATACCTAATGCATCCCATGGTGCTGATCCAGGATCAATAGATTCTTCGTTGATTCATGGGGAGTGCGAGTTTTCAAAATAGTTCATCCCTATTTTGGGGATCCCTCCTGCAGACTTGCCGCCCTGGGTGGCCACGTCACCCTTGCTCTCTTCTGGGGTGTTCAATTCCGCCACATGCATGGCGTTCCACAATGGTCAGAGGAAGCAACAAACAAGAACGTAACTATCAAGAACTATTGATGCCATTGCTGCCGATCCTCTCTTATAGCGTTAGCAACCGTAGGCCTAAGGTTTTTAGTGCTGGTACATATTTGTGATGTCGAAGCTTCCGAAGCTCTGCCAACAAAGGAATATAAACTGATATAAATAAACTATAATTAGTAACTATAGTAACTATAGTAAGTGTATATATATAGGGAAAAAATACAGTGACTCAGTGACTATATTAAGTAAACCCCGGATAAGGATAGTCTAACATCATACTAAAATATAGCAACTGGATGTTTCTTCCGGGGTTGACATCTACCCCAGCTCCTTAGCTCCCCACCATTGGAATGCTACAAGTGCAACTCTTATTTTATGGGATCTGTAGTGAGCCCGCCTAAGCCTAAGGTTTAACAAGCATAATCAAGAAACATCAAACACCGATTTTGGAGCTGGACAATTATCACAGTTCATGAGCCATTCCAGCGCTAATCCATAAAACGCAAGCAAGATTTAAACACATGATATTACCGATCAACCCAATCAAACTGGCTAAACTTTGGCATCTTGATTCCCACAGCGACGATTCCGTAAAGATTTCATAAAGAATCCATAGAAACCATATTAAAGGATTTGCTAAAACCAAGGCCATTTTTATATCCGACTATAGGTCAGTAGCATTCAATATTAGTCAAGTTTTTCCATATCTCACATTATCTCACTATATATTCCCATTCTATACCACCATGTCTCTTGCTGAAAAACCGCGGAAGGCAACACGACCTTTCTGACCCGAAGCCAACGGAGCCTTTCGCACCAGCTTCGCACAGTTGGCATTGATGGCCCGCATTACCAGGGTAGAGCCTGGCACATTGGCCACTGGCTGGCGGTCTCTCGCCACTTGTTGGTTTTCACCAAGAAACTGCAATCATGAATCATGGTTAAATAATGTTAAATATGGGGACATATGGGAAAATCTATTCCAAAATATTCCAAACATATGGGAAAATACATGAAAATACCTGCTGTGAAGTTCTGCTGCATTGAACTTTGGACTATTCTCTGGAATGTCGTCATGATATGAGTTGCAAACCACCCAATTATACGCGACCCGGGATGCACCACCAGTCAGTAAGGTCGCTGAACCTATTACATCCTGTTTCTCTGGATCCATACCCAGTGGTAAGTTCCATAACAAAACCTGGTGAACAGAGGGCTGTAGTTTGGGACATGGTGACATGATCCATTGTTGCAATTGTACCATATTGTACCCCACTATGCTCCAATTTTTGTTGTGGCGCGAATGGACCAGCAACCCTTGCATGACAACCCACATTCATAAACTCTGGTTGATTCATTGGGGCACTGGGGAATTGAACGGGTGCACCATCAAATGCCAAGTTTGCTGCCTCCCATCAAACAAACGGGGTGTAGAAATATCATGAGTTTTTCCATGCCTTTACATCTCCGAGAATGGTGTTTTCAGCATAGAAATCAGCGGCTTGTTCTTTCTCATGGGCCAGGATCATGCAACCTCCTGCGCCAACATAACAGGCATCTCACCTACACCAGACCCCCACCCGAAAATCGATGTTTGATGATGGTTGATGTTCATCATGCCCATGAAAATTCTGTATCAAAACTGGTTTGACATGGTGAAAAAGTGCAACATGTTGAAACAATCTGCCATTTTGGCATTAAATGCTATAGTAAGCATCAAGATTTTCAAACGACAACCATGTCAATTGCAACAACATCACATGATTAGCTGAGCTGAAAAAAAAAACGTTCCAGATTCCAGGCAAACTTACCCTCTGGTAAACGTTCACATAACTATGGAAAATCACCATGTTCAATGGGTAAATCCTCTATTTCAATGGCCATTTTCAATAGCAAACTGTTAAATTACCAGACTGTATATCCCATTAATATCCCATTAATATCCCATTGAATCACTATACATGGGCAATTTTCAATAGCTATTTTGACATAACTAGAGGGTATATACAGTAAATGTGAACTCACCAGGAGACCGCCGTCCCGTCACCCTGGTGCCTTCAGTAATGGTGCGGCACAAGACACCTGGGACAAAACATCTGCGCGAAGTCATCCGCAGATGTGGCGTATTAGCCTCTGGTTATGTCAAAATAGCTATTGAAATAGTGGATTTACCTATTAAACATGGTGATTTTCCATAGTTACGTTGGTTTACCAGAGGGTAGCGTGGAAAAAACACATACTGTAAACACTCCCAATCACGCATGTATATTTACAAATCGTGCATGTAGTTACTAAAAAATACGATAATGAAGGACATAAATGAAGAAACAACAAAACACACGGCATAACACATATCATAATCGATTGCATATAAAGTACATGTGCATTGGTCAAAAAATGGTATATGTGGTATGGCCAGCTATCCCATAATGACCATGGCACACACACATACACACACGTATATGTATATAAGGTATTATAACTAGTAAATATATATAAATACATCATATCCGCTAAACAAAAAAACTATGTATATTATAGTAAATAAATTACAGTAATCAAAAAATGATTGAATAACTATATATTCAATTAACAAATTATATATATATGCACTATTTGCGCACACACACATGTATACATGCTATGCATGCCAACCACATCCTGCTTTACATGTTCTCTTTTATTCGAGGTGCGAGAGATGAGACCCAAGGACCAGCGGAAGGCTTCCTCCTGTTCCGGCACATTCGTCAATTCCCTGGCGGAAAGAACTGCTAAAAGGCCAAAGGAGGCTGGGGAATGATGAGCACTTGAGGAAGTCCAAGGTTAGAAATGTCAAACAAATGGAAATGGTAATGTTGGGACAAAGAATGGAATACATTTGGCGAATTTTGGATGTGCCTCTGCACTTGTTATTTCTTGTTATAGCGAAAATGGTTTTGGGTTGATATGGTACCAGGTAGGGAAGGCATTTGAAGTATCTAAGTATCCATCCAAGGTTTTGGAAAGATCCAATGACAGTTCACCTGAAGAGTTTATGAACTTAGCCATTTGCAGACTCCCTGTTTTTTCTAGCTGCTGTTGACAAAATACTACTTGATACGGTGGCCACGGTGGCCGAGCCCCCAGCATCATTCATTTTGCGGAGTTTGATCATTGCACCACATCGAGAATCAGAGTGGCAAATTGCAAAGTTAATTTTAAAACCATTCTTCCGAAAAAAACGGATTTGATTGGGTTGGTTGGTTGTGGTTGTCGATAACTTTCGAAAAGTGTCATTTCTCGCAAGATCTACAAAACATTTCAGTCCAAACTACCAATCACGCGCTTTTGTTGTTTGGTTTTGAATCCAATCTAACTATGGTTACATAACTTTAAACTTTAAACCGTACTTTAACCCAGCTATTTGCACCAACTTAGCCAACATCGAATCAGTTTTATCAACTCTAAATCCCCCATTCTTCCATATTCTTCCTATGTAAAGCCATTTTTTTTCTCGTTAGGCCTCGGTCGCGATCGCGCGATCGCAGGGCTAGAAGGGCCTGATCTTCTCGATCGCTGAGCTCACAAAGGGTCCAAAGAGCTCCGTTGGGATGCCATAGCCCACGTGGCGCAAACCCAGAGCACCTGGGGCGTCGTGGGGCCTGAGGAAATCATGGGAAGCACCCCAAAACAAAAGTCGCTATTAAGAGGATATTACGAAGTACCAGAGATTTTTAGGGTGTATATATAGCCAAAGATAGGGATTTAACCCTGATTGGTTGGGCACATGCGCGCAAGCGAGTCAAAGGCCTAAATCAAACGCTAGCGTGCAGTCAATAGGATGTTGTCATTTTGGAATGATATCCTTCGTACTGTAGTCAGTTTGTCCGAACTTGTTGTAAATATTTGTAAATAAGTTCTTTTGATTTGAAGGTCCAATGCTGTCTAGGTCTGCCGACCCTACGTTTCCCAACATCCCTAGGTTCGGCACTTCCATGTTTGTAAGTTACTGGACTTAAAGGATCACTGTCCGGAGCTCTAAGAATATGTCCAGCAAGTTTAATTTTCCGTTCATCAAGAACACCTATAAAAGGTTTCACACCGTCATTCCCTTCGGGATATGCAATTTGGGATGCTCTGTCATAAACTCGCTGGTTTGTGTTGGTTGCTCCTAAACATAAGTGGTTGTCATCTTCAAGATTGTCCTGAGGCCCCTTAAATGGAAGGCACGCAACTGTCTGCAACCGGAATTGGTCAGATGGACCGTTTCCTTGATGACGGCATCATGTATAATGAGTTTTCACTTGGGGTATATGAGTTTAGGTCCTTCCATAAAGGTCTAACCTCAGCCAAGATTACCAGATGTCCTGTATTCGCTGTGAAACTTCCCGAGCTACAAAATGGTTCCATCGGTTGTTGCCCGAATCGGTGGCATCATGCGGTTTGTTTAATGGGGTTCCATCCTTGAAGTGAAGCGTAGCATATTGGTGCGCAGGGAATCATAACTAATCTCAAATTGAATAATGATGAATAATGGATGAATGGATGGTATGCGGTGCCCCAGTTCGTTAGCTAAGTTGGTTGATAAGTAGATGAAAAAATCATCATTTATTGTATAGATATATTGAACCTGCTAATAGGGTTATACACCAAGATACCTGGTGGGGCATATGGAGGGCATCACCTTGAGTGGAGCTGGCTATGGGATTTGCTTAACCCCATAGATTTCCCATTTCTGGTCGATCAATGGGACAATAAACAATCATCTGCATCAGATCAAAACATATCAAAACTATGAAAAGGATCCATGTTGCCCTTCTGTCAAACAATCCTATGTGATACATGCTTGGCTTTTCAAGATGTTTTAATTGTGGAAATTGAGATTTCGAGTCACACCTCAGAACGCAACTGAGCTGCACACCCGCCACCCAGTCCCACGGGTCTTCCGGGTTTTCCTTCCGTGGCCCAGGCACTGAGATCTGTCATGACGCTCTTTGGATCTTTGAAGATCTCCTGGCAGATCTTACATCTCAACGACCTGGAGGTCATGTCATTTGGGTTTTTTTCGTCTGAAAAATGGGTGATTTTTAAAGAGGTAAAATGATGTCATAGATTGTCGATCGTTGATAGTCCGCCACAATATATATAACCCTTTTCTGGTCATGCCAAAATATTTCATTGTCTGATAGCCAAAAAATAAAGGATCAAACTACCTGAATATATCCAAGGTTAGGGATGAATAAACCATGGGATATTATATTCTCAAACAAACACCTTTGGTTGAGAAAAGAAAATCAAATGTATGCAAAACCACCAGACAAATCTGGTGTTGGTGGTTTCCCCAAAACATATTGAACAACGGAAGTCCGTGGTGTCTTTGCACCTGAACCACGCAATTTAGCATTTAGCGGATGCGGGTCTTTGGAATCATTCCAAATAATCCCAATCCAGTCCAGTGTTTACGGCATTGGTCACGTGGGGACCATCGTCCCCAAAAAAGCCAAGTACGGATGGACAACATTTTTATTTCAAGACACTACTTTTAAACTCTTGCAATGTTTGGGCCCTAGGCCCAGTAAACCACTACTACGGTCAAAATTAGGGTTTGGATTTTCCATTGAACCCATTCACCTAGGCAAACTTGTCAACTCATGGCTACAATCAGTAGGCCATCCATATATCTGTATCAAAGTTGGCGTGGAAAGCCTCCAGAGCCGGTCTTAGATCAAGAAAAGATGTTTATCGTTGGTAGATATTCCCATGTTTTGAGCATTAGTGCGTATAGTAGCCGACCAAATGGCCAAATCAACATGTGTAAACAATACAATTCTGAAGGCAAAAATAGACTATTGAAGCACCCTCCGGCGATCAAACAGGACAATGGCAAATTCTCGCAAAATGATCGGTATTTCTAGAAGATGTTCTAGCAATTCCATCTGGTTCAGGAATTTCCCATCTAGCCATGCTTGATGACACCATCCAAAACCACACTCCACCCCTCCTGTGTGAACATGATCACCCGATCTGCGATAAAATGCAAACGTGTTGAGGACTGCTTGAAGTAGTCCTGCCCTTGCGCACATTTCCTGAGCGGAATGCCGGCTTGTCAAGGAGCCTCCATGTGAAGTACCAGTTTTATATCTCAAGACTAAACCTCTGTTGAGAGTACCCCAAAAAGCTGTGGCTAATCATTCTGTCCCCGAAACGTTCGTCTTGAGAATCTCCCGTTTCCAGAGAATCTGGTCATTTGGGAAGATGCTGATCCTTTGCCAAATCTTCAACAGCCATGATTTTGCGATCCAAAATGCCACAACATGTTGGGACTGCAAGTTGCCACATCCGGTGTTAGATCATCCATGGTTTTCCCGGAAATGTCCTCTGTCTGATTGTCCCAATGGAACATCATTGAACTTATCTCAAACTAGACCCCCAGAGCTGGGGCAGTATGTCCCAGAAAGCTGAAATCCAGTCATGAAACACTTACCCTCCGGTAATCAAACATGGCAATTGAAATCACTAAAAATGGAGGTTTATAGCTCGGAAGAATCAACTATAATACTATACATCCTGTTTTTTTTCCAGCTAATGATTGCCGTGTTTTTTTCCCCTTTCCTCCAGGTTCAACCCATTAAGATAGACAGATTTTCATCCGACCCCGAAAAGAAATACTTTAGCAGTTTAGCCATACACTGCAGCAAACTAGAAAATGGAGAAATCATGAGAAATCTACCAGGTAGGGGGCTTTTGCATATAAAAATATCCCAGTTTCGGGCTCCATATTCCTCCGGAAACTAATGACATACCATGACATACCATGACATACCATCACTGGAGGATGAAATTTTGCCCCAGATCTCAGCATTTTTTTCTGCAGATCTCAGCCACTAAATTTTGTTGCGAGCTGCGCAAAAAAGGTGGTGTAGATGCCCGTGCGAAGCAGGAGGAGCTGTTCCTCCGTGAAGGTGGAATACCTCTGGACGTGAGCCCCTGCCAAACCACCGGCTGGTCGCTGCAAGGTTGGAACTGTTTTTTTTGCCTTGGTGATCTTGTCCAGAATAAACCAAACGTCATTTGTATACCTATTCTAGTCTATTCTATTTTATTATCTATCTATCTATCTGTCTGTCTGTCTGTCTGTCTATCTATCGATCTATCCAATCTAATCTAATCTAATCTATCTATCTATCTATCTATGCATCTATCTATCTATCTATCTATCTGTCTATCTATCTATCTATCTATCCCATTGCTATGGTTGGGATACAGGAGATATACGTATCATCATTTGGTCCTGGGATACTCATGTTAATCCCCGGTGTTAGACTTTGTTGAACTAGCAACAACTGGGATTGAAAGAACCAAGATTGGGTGAACCAAGGAAATGGCGTGGTGCTTTGACATACTGTCGTGAAACTTAAAAACTCTTAAAAACAGCACACAAATACAGAAAAAAAAAACATGGGCCTTGGATTATCTTTATTGTTTTTTAGCAGTAGAACACTGGTAGAAAAATGGTATAACCCATATTAATACAGTAGTCCTTGTAGGCTGGGATAATTCCTGAGGGGTTTTCTCACCAAGATGCAGCTTCCGCAAGGCTTTTTGCTGAATTTGCGGCTTGCCTAAATTGGCCTTCCTCGGAAGGCAGACTGTCATGGCAAGATGTGACAAGTTACCAGACATCCCAACTGACATAGCCTCATTGACTTCCCAGACAAAATGGTGATTCTCAGGGTCTATGTTAGTCAATAATGTCTTTTTGGTAAAAATAGAGGGGCCGGTTTGCTATACATATATATATACATATACATATATACATATAAATAAATAGATAAATAGAATACACATATTCATATATATATATATAAATTATATAAACACATGTCGTATGTAAGAGCAGTAAATCTTGTTTCAACCAGCCCTGGTCGGAAATTCATCGGCTCAGTAAATCCGATGAAAAACCACCACCAGCCAGGCAGCATTAAAAATGAGTCACATCGTCACATCATTCAACGTATTGGTTTAAGGGAAAATTTACAGGAAAGGCCCATATTTAATTGGGAAATCCATGGTTTCCTGCAAATTTTCCCTTAAACCAATCCATTGAATCATATACCTCTATAAACATGAAACATCGATGTTATAATACCCTCTGGTAATTTAACATAGCTATTGAAAATCACCATTTTCAATGGGTAAATCCTCTATTTCAATGGCCATGTTCAATAGCTATGTTAAATTACCAGAGGGTATTATAACTATGACATGACCAAATCCATCCAGATTTTCAACATTAAAGCCTTAAAAAAACAGTAAAATCATGGTGTCATAGTGAATCTCTCCGAGAATGTCACCGAAGTCACAGTTTCCTATGCCCTCGACCCTGGCTGAGCGTCAGCATGCGATGGATGCTGTCCCACAACCAGGTCCAGGCGACTTCACACTCCTTGGGTCGTTGCGGAATGGCCACATGCGATGAGGCTGTGCCACATTGAGAAAACAACTGCAAAAGATCATCCATGCTTTCCATGTGTTTTTTTTTCTCTCTTTCTCTCTCTCTCTCTCACCTTCAAGTTCAGAGTTCAGCTAGTTCAGCTAGTTCAGCTAGTTTCAGCTACTTCAGCTAGTTCAGCTAGTTCAGCTAAGCTAAAGGCGAGTGGAAAACAACCAAACAACCGCTGCACCAGGGTAGACAGCAGTGTCAACTGCTTTCCTTTGATGGTTCGAATCAGCGGTGTCTAAGTCCACCCAAAAGCACATGGGCAAATTGGGATCACCATGCTTTGGGGGATGAACATCAACAAGAAACCCTTTGAAATCGCACTAATCGAGGCGACAAAGACATACCCGTTGGGGTGAACATTCTTCCATTCGAATCCTTCACCGACCTGGAAAAAATTGCGACCGATGTTCTGGATCATGATTTTTTCCCCTGGAGTGAAGCACCCACTTGGGAGTGCAGTTCCACTTGCAGTGGGCATATGATTGGCCCGATAAAAAATGGTGCCCTATATATCCTAACCCTAACTGATAGTAGGGTTAATAGCATGCAGTACCATGGTTATGCAATGGTTATACCATGGTTATAGTTATACCCAAGAAACATCACTACCCCAACTGCGCCCCAACTCCACCAGGGCTCCGAATTCCAAGTCTTGGGCAACAAGGATCTTAGAGACGCCTTGGGACAAATGACATTCAGCTGGAACACACCATTGCATGCAAATGCACATATTGTCTCGTAATGTGGTTAAAGCAATCAAATGGGCGGTTTATTATTGTGTTAACCACATTGCATAGTTTTAAACACATGGATAACTATGCACAATATATGTGAGTGCGTATACACACACACACACATAATCACACACATATATATATAATATTATATATAATTATTAATATATATATATACTATACATGCGCGTGTGTACATGCTTGTTTGGCGGGTAAACCGCGAGATACCACAAATACAATATAGAAGGGACACAATTGGATGCCACCAGTTCTGGTACTGCTGGATATTGATCAAACAGATCTGTCTGAACTGGGATGCCAAATGTTCCACAATGAAAATATTGCATATGTGGGTCATCCATTTCATAGTGGGAATCCAATGGTTCCAAATTCATAATGGCATAATATGGCGCTTTCTATCCTTCCAACCCTGTAGTAATTAAACATAGCCATCATAGCTATTGCAAAACACCGTCTTTCATTTCGGCAAATCCTGGAACTAGCCGACTGGCCATTGCCCAGTCGGCAACGTTTTTTCAATCACCAGAAACAAATCTGGCGTGTTTGCCTTGATAGTAACAGAAAAAATAGGAGTAACCGGGTAACTGCTGTATTTTCTATGCTGTTTGAAGGTATTTCATGGTATTTCCGTCTATAGCTATGGGTCAAAATTTCTCTGGCAGTGGGTTGAACAAAGGAACACCCACAAGGCCTATTCCCGGGAATATCATACCCATCAGTTAAGGACATCAGGCAATTTATCGTAGCTATATGTAGCTATTGACATCTATTGACCATCGGCCATCGCTAGGTAAATAGCTAGGTCCTGGTAGGTACCCTCTGGTGAACTAACATAGCAATGGAAAATCACCATTCTTAATGGGAAAATCCACTATTTCTATGGCCATTTTCCATTGCTATGTTAGTTCACCAGAGGGTAAATCATCGTAAAAAAACATCGAACAGAGGGACCCATGGCTTCCATAGCTGTTGGTCACCAGGGCTTGGCACCCTCCCTGGGATGATCATCTGATGTCCAATGCACAAATTGGGACTGGATTCCCGAGGGATGGTTGACCATGTTGACCATGTTGACCATATTTTTATCATAGAAACCATGGGTTAATAGAGATTTCATGGTATTAACCATGGCAAAAACCCAACAAAACCATGTTTCATTAAGCTGGTTAAGGTGGTATACCTACCCCTCTGGTAATTTGTGGTTTGCTATTGAAACTGGCCATAGAAATAGTGAATTGTCTCATTCAACATTGTGATTTTCCATGGTTATGTAAACGTTTACCGGAGGGTACGCCTCTGAAACATATGAGTTCGTCAGTTGGGATGATGACATTCCCAATAGATGGAAAAATAAAACGTGTTCCAAACCACCAACCAGGTACCGTCTTTTTTTCCTCACCATGGCACATATTGTCACATGTGTATGCGGCCATGGTTCCTTTTGTATATGCCTTACATGGACCTGAAATGTTAGATACCTCCAATGAAGGGCTTCACTGGTTGGTGGTGTCAACCCATCCCCCAAAAAAAACGGCCGGGAAAATCAGAAAACATCAAACCAACAAGCAGGTTGAACTTCGAACCTACCCACAACATCCCACAACCATCTACTTGGTTTGCCATTCAACAATATTCAACATCCATGGCAGCTCCCTGGATTTCTGCTTCGCCCAGTGGCCAACATCACAGCCTTAAATTCCATGAATTCGATCTTGCTTTCCGACTGCAGGCTTGAGATATCAGAATGCTTCTGGGATTTTTTTCCAGCTGCAAAACCTCCATGTTGCCCATAATCAAACCCATGTTGCTTCTTGTTAGCACTCTTGGATGCCATTTATGGTCGGTCTTCATCTCGTGCATTCCAATGAGACTTTGCACAGTTTACCCGGCCTGCTTTTTTTTCAATGGGTGTGCAAACTGGAATATAATCTATCCGGATAAACCATCATAATTCACTAGGCTGAAATAAGGCTGTATTGGGATAATTCCCCTTACAATTCCCATGATTCCAGTGAGGTCGCAGTGAGGTCGTGATCAAATTTACCCAAATTTTCATAGGCAATGGCTTCCAGTTCGCAAACTGTGAAATGACCAAAGCCTACAAGGTGGTGCCCCCAAGATAGCTAAGTTGGTTTATAACTCTAATAACTAGGACTTATGGTAGATATATCTATAGTTAATGGGATTATAAACCAACTTATAACTTGGGGGGCACCATCTTGTAACTCTATCCCATTCATATCCCATGAAATCACCATCAAATGCCATGAAAAAACATATTTAATTCTAATCACTACGTGAAATCACTGCATATATAATCAGATATATACACAATTCTATACATTAGTATGGATATGTTGAATCATCTACCCGGCTACCCGGGTCACCCCCGGCTCCCCAGCAGGCCCTTTTGGATCGATCGAGGCCTTACCCAGCACAATGGACAGCACATCTGCTTCTTCCATGACACCTGCGACCACGGGTCCGATTGGATGAAAATAGGTGAAGAGCTAAGCAGCAGCTTTTTCGATAGAAACGTGTGGCTGGTTGGTGGTTTTAACCCCTCTGAAAACATTAGTCAATGGGAACGAGTATCCCATATACTATGGAAAAAACATGTTTGAAACCACCAACCAGGTGATGTATCACCAGTTTAGTCAGAGTTTAGGCCCTGGTATTTATGTGCAACAAAAACTATGGCAACTATGGCTTAGATCAATCCAGATCTGATCTGTGGGTTTCTTGCGTTTACGCAATCCATCTGTTTGGGGATTGCGTTTTGTTGCTGTATCGATTCTTTGTTTGCAGCATCAGTTCTCTCTCTCCGCTGTGTTGTTCCTATTGAGATTGTATTTCTTTGGTATGCCCCACGTTTGGACTAATCCATATCTCACATTGTTGGTTCAATCCCAACGTGGATTATCTCTTGGTGGTTTGATACTTCAAACCGTTGGCATATCATCATACATCTGGATAAATTATAATATTTCACTAACCTGAATCTTGCGGCCATATTGGGATGATTTCCCTTACTAACCATCATTCCCAGTGAGGTCGCAGTGAGGTCGTGATCAAATTTACCCAGATACATGTTTGGTTTTTTTCCATATCAGGTTCTTTTTCGAAAATGCAGGGTATCTAATCCATGTAATGTTCACCCAGGAGTACGATACCACCAGCTTACTGATAGGGGACGCTACTCACTTTGCTACTTGATCCCTATTTTATGGCAACCTACCCAACCAAGTGTCAGGGTCCATTAATCCAGCGTTGACATTACCCAGAAAAACGTAACTGGTGATATACAACTGAGTTAAACCATGATTCTTACCCACGTACAAAGTGATGAAGTGGATAAATCCACATAAATCCAAGTTATGATCATCAGAGTCCATCAATGTTCATCTTACATCAACTTACTAGGTTTGCATCCATCAATTACCGGACAAATCTTGATCCCTCTGATATCTACCGTATCCATGGAACATCCCCCATGTGTAGATGATTTACCGATAAAAATAGGAACTTTTACGCGGCTATTCTAAACTAATTGCCAGAGGGCAAGCCGGCAATTTTCACTTCTAATAAGTCGACATCGCTTAGGTATATTTTGGATTAGTGGAATGATCTTACCCTTATGAACATCTGGTTCGAGTTTTAACCCATAAAACCAAAAAGAAACATGCGCATCATCTCAACCAATCATCTAAATATATCTCATGCATGGCTGAGAAAAAAACAAACAAATAATCAATATTTGAAACCCCTAGCAAGACTATCTGGATAAACCACTGAAAAATTACCACTCTGAACTCAGGCCACTTGGGGGATAGTTAGCCGAATCCCAATCATCATTCGATAGGGATGATGTTTGAAACAAATCCTGAATTTAACGTAGCGAACTGGAAAATCACATGTTTAATAATTAGATAAATAAGCATTTATCCCATTCATATCCCACTAAATGACCACAAAATCCCATGATAAATCACGCAATCGTTGCAAAAATCCTGCACTCCGAAGCGATCACCAAGTCACGTTGCGGATCCGCCGCATGAACCACCAGTGCGGGAAAGACATCCAGGACGTGAGCCATCCATTCGCTGTTGCCGTAGCCCATGACCGTGGCGTTGAAGCGGAACATCTCCTTGGTGACTTGGGAAAAAATTGGGGATGGTCAAACATATGGTGGTTGACAATGATTGAGATCGTTTAAGATGGTGTAACATGGTTTGAAATGTTTTTAAGATACAAAAGAACTATAAATACCCATTTTCCGCTCAAAAGAAACCCATTTGAAGCCACCAATCATCACCAATCAATCCACTAACCATGCCCGTCCCCCCGCTGAGAGGCTGGGAAGGTCGTAGGCACTTTGTTTTTGCTCAGGCCTCGGTTGTGCGATGGTAAACCACTGGTTCTGCTGTTCTGCTTCGGTTTCAGGTTCCAAATGTACCCGGCCTGGTAAACGTTTATAAAAAGCTATTGAAAATGGCCATTGAAATAGTGAATTTACCCATTGAACATTGTGATTTTCCATAGTTATGTTAGTTTACCAGAGGGTATCTGAAGATCTCATACTTGGAGGTGGTCAGTAGCACCGATTCGTAAGTCCCCTAACCAAAGATATCCCTTTATGGATATTTATGGTTGAATTCACCCCACTAACCAGTTTCAGTTCGTAAGTGGGATGATCCTCCAAGTTGTGAAAAAATTGTTTATAGGCTGGAACCATCACTGGAAGACTCAAGCTTGGTTTCATCTCACAATTCACTGTCAGATCACAAGAAAAAAGAGTAGTCGTGCAGGCCACGGTGATGGTGATGCATACACACACACACACGCACACACACACACACACGCACACACTGACACATGTACATAGTGTTCAACCTTGCTATAGTGACCACGCTTCTTCAGAAGACTAATTTGTGTGAGAATGATACTTAAAGGCAAACTGCTTCGCTCTTCCAATTTTCAATCATATTTGTCAAAAGCAGCCAATAACCCACCTAGTTTCGATGTTTTTGCGATTTGGAGGCGTTTCATACTGTTTGCGGTCGCTTTGAAAGTTTTTAAAGGTGTTCTGCTGTTTTTTTGCAGGCGAACTTCGCACAGAAAGTGCACATCGCACGAATCGCACGAATCGCAAGCGTAAATCAACAAATTTGAGAGATAGTGAGAGATTGTGATTCAGAAAGTCTGCTGGTGACACTTGAAAGCTGATTGAACGGCTAACATGTCTGGTCTGGTCAGAGTTCAATCATTCGCTATGGATGGATGGCGGTTGAATTATTCGACTTGGGGACCACTTGTCCATCGCACATTTTTTCATAGTTCTACAAAAGAAATGTCAATGGCCATGCAACAGGAAGCGGTTCATTGGAGGTACCTACCATTAATATGTTTGGCCTATTTTTCAGGCCTTAATTTCAGGGAATATGCCCACATTTCGAGGCACATTCGGCCGGTGGTTTCATCCCAAAGCCATTGCCATTGCAAGATCATCCTAATCATTTTTCCATTCGAATGCCCCATTCCACAACGCCAATGACTAGATACTACGAATCCACAACGACAAAACATATTTTTGCATCAGATTTCTAGCTGATTTAGCACTCTGACTAACCCTGAATTGCAGATCTTTCCAGCGCTAAACTTGGACATTCACAGGTCGTTGAACACAATCCCTTTCCTTCTCAACAGGGTGTATCCTAAGAAATAAGCATGGTGGTTACCTATGGTAGTGAAGAACCACAACATAACAAATGGTTGGCAACAGGGAAACCACCGTTGTGAATTCTGGTTGTTTGGGGGTTCAGGATTCAGTTGAGCATCCCCCCCACCAAAAAAATACATTTCCATGCAGGCTTAAATGATGCTTTCCCGTAATTCTCAGGTTTAGAGCCTTTTGGACTCTCTTTTGTAGTTCCTATATATGTCAATGTCAACCAATAATGAGGTTATAAAAATTGAGTTGGTTACTAGCATCTGTTTATATATCGCGATATTAATATAGTCCATTGTACTTGTTTCATCCATATAAAACTAAAATTCTAAATGAAAGAACGGGTGCATGTTCACTTTCCCAGTGAACCATTTTCTCAACTACTTGTCCAAGGACTCCAAGGACCTTGCCTCCCACCTTCTTTCGACCTTCCTCCATGCTAGCCTCCTGGGCTAAAGAAGGGCCGGTCAACAATTGTGGATTTCAATTCGTTTACACCCACCATATCGCTATTTCAATGGGCATACTGAGCAAAACTGATGCTTGAAAACGATTTTACCTTTTATATAACAGTTTGAACCTTGTTAGTTCTGTTAGCCAATGGGAGGCATCATGGCAATAGTTTAGTTTAGAATGGAGACAATTATGGTAAAGAATTTCTTCAGACATTTTGTGGGTTCACCATTTTCTGGGAAAGTCACAAACTCGAACCCCGCGGTTTCCATGTATAGCCTATATAGTTATATAATATATGATATGGATGCTGGAACATATAATAAAACATATATATATATATTATACATATAAACTATCCGCAATTTGTTTCATCGAAATTGTAAACTGATAATTCCATTTCAATTCATTCATTCGCTGAATCTTGCACCATTTCCCCAAACAAGGCTCTTCGTGCTACAATCTTCTAGCCGCCCGAACAAATCTTTGGATTTGCTTGAGAAGATCCAAAAAATTGAAGATATTCCGAGATTCCCTATTATCATCTATAATCTATTGATTCCGCATATCTGGTGGATTTCCCTTTGGGAACTCATGGAAAATCACCAACAAAAAGACCCCAAAAAAGGCGATCCCTTAAAAATCACCATCAGCGCCCAGCGCCCACCCAACCCGCTTCGAAACGCGCAGCCGCCTGTGATCCTTTCACCTTTGCATCGCTGCTCTCTTGGGGCTTCTTTTTCCACATGCTCCTCCATAACCCTCCACCACCTGCCATCAGGGCTGCCAGGGCCCAAAAAAACCACGCGGAATCCATTCGGTTTTTCCATGATTTTCCCATTCAAATTCACAGGTGTTGAATGGAATAGATAGGGGTTACCATGGTTTAGTGACCCAGAAATGCAATGGTAAGTGGAAGCTCAGTGGAAATGCGGGGTTTTTTGAGGTGCAAAAACTCACATCCGGAATCCGAACCACAAATCGTCATTGGTAAGGGCCGTTTTAAGCGGGTAAAATCCATCTCCAAAATCATGTTGCAACTGGCGTCATCATTCCAAGTAGCGTCCATAGGTACCTTGGCGTCCGCGGTTCGCGGGCTTTTCTCCATTGAACCTACGTCATGCCGCGTCAAGTCCGTTTCGAGCGATGCGGCCGTCCCGGACGAATTGGTGGCCCACGCCATGTCACCCAAGGTACCTTCGGAAGACCCTCCAGGGATAATCATTGGATTCTAAGGCCTGTTATGCGTGGATGGCGGTTCATAACCCCTAGTGACTCTGCTTGGAAGGAGAGCTTTGTGTTGACAAGTGTGGGTGTACATGACGGGTGATCAGGTTTTGTAGGATAAGCTGATGAGCTGGCCTAAAGCTAGTGGCTGGAACTCCAAGACTGGCAAAAGCCGTTCAATTAAAAGCCGCCAGTATTAGTATCCAATTCCCACTCTTTTTTGGGGGGGTCTTGGGCTGCCCCAATTATTCCACCAGGGTTATCCTTGAAACTCACTGGCGTTGGGACTAGCCTTGGGACGGCGTCTTCTGGGCCACTGGTGAACAGCGGGAAGTGCTCGCGTGGCCGCGTGGCAAAAGTCAGGTCCAGTTGAGGCTGTTGAGGCCGTTTCGGCCATTGCACTCACTGGTTTAAAAAAAAAAAACGTTCAAGTCCGCATTTCGTGGCCTATTCATGCTTATTCCATATACAAATGGGTGGACTAATATGGATATCCCACATATCCACCCATTCTAATGACCGTTCAACCCATTTCAATCCCCCAAAAAATGGCCGAAAGAAATCCATCTTTGTCGCTTAACCATCACTGGAAGTTCTTGGCTTTCAAAAACTATGGAGCCTAAGGACCTCAGGGGGGATTGACTGAGTGCCACACTCAATCCAAAAGAACACCAAGAATTTGGAGTCTCAATGGATTGGTTTAAGGGAAAATGGAAACCGGAAACCATAGATTTCCCCGTTAAAAATGGTGCTTAAAACCAGTAAAAAAAAAATCCTGTAACCTATCCAATGAGAGTCGGTATGTGTTATGTATGTCAGGTATGTCGGTATGTCGCCTATTTTCCCGCAGCCCAACTGAGCCAACTGGACCATGACACCTGTGGGGATCTTCTATCCCCTTGGAAGGTCGAACCCCAAAAGCAGGTGTGAACTGCATCCGTGGCTGCGACCTTTAACTGGAGCTATGATACCACGGGGATCAGCGGGGATTTTCAGGGGAAAATCTGAGATCCACACGATTTTGTGTGAAAACGGGATCTCCCTGCAACTTCGCGTGGTTCCAGCACTTCCAAAGTTTATGAACTATGAACTGATGAGATGATTTATCCCTATTCGCAATGGATAACAATGCGACATATATTGACAGGTTAGCACATTGTGAGGGAACCACATAGCCAACTCGCAGGGTCACTTGTCTAGCCATTACGGCACCACATTCGGCTGTAGATAGAAGGATGCCTGGCCGCGCTGGAAGAGTATCTCATTTGGAAACCTGGACAATAAAAGGAGAACATCATATATACCCTCCGGTGTCTTCAAACATGGCATGGAGGTTTAGTTCGCTGGAAAAATCATCGAACTGATGGCGGAGGGTATCCTTTTTGGACCCCTGTCAATGTGGAGCTGCATTGAGTGTCTTCTAAAGCAGCTTTTCTGGGGAGTGTGCTAGTGGCGGGAGGGATTAAAGTGTGAAAGCAATCCAGCCCCAAAACCCCAAAACTAAGAAAAGGACTGAACTATCGAGTCAGTGAATATCATCCCAGTTTTAGGGATGATATATCTTTTCCCCGATTTTCCATATCATCATCTTCCACAGCATCCCAGCATCCGGCCCATGTTACCACAACATGGATTTTTGGGGTCCAGGGATCCAACAATATCACCAAAACATCAGTTATGATGTTAATTAACTGATGTTAATTACTAATCTGATGCTATCAATGGGCCTTACATAGGGCTTTTAAAATTGGTAGGTACCTCCAATTTAGGATCCTGGAATGGCCATTGATGTTAATATGAATGTTATTTTTCCACTGGCAAAAAAGAGACAATCTGATGTGATTTCACGTGATTTCTATATTTCTTAATGTTAATAAACTAAATATGAATCTATTTTTTTCTTCCCATGATTGCCACATCATATTCCCGTTGTAGTCCCATCATTGCTACGAAATCCTCAAAGATTTCTCTCCCAGTTCGGACACTGGAAACCGTTCACCGTTGCCACCCCATCCCTTGACGCCTGGATTCCGGCCTTTTGCCGTGCCTGGGGTGAAACCTAGGCCCAGCGCAAGAGGTAAACTGGGTAACCTGCCATATTGTAGGAGCTAAATCATCTACATAATCTAACATAACTATGGAAAACCAGCATGTTTCAGCAGTAAGTCATCTACAAACTACCACAACCAGTTTGTTTTGATCCATTTTGCATAGCTATATGGGTTATGGATTAGATTACCCAAGGCTTTCCAGCTGGGATGGTCAGCTGCCAAGGCACAGATGCGTCCGTGGAATCCAACAAACTTAGGAAGTCCTCAGTCGGGCTTGGTGAAAAACTCACTGCCGTGGTGAATGTGACCCGTTTTTTCCCAGCGAATTAACCATCTGGGATTCATGGTGCCATGGTTTTTGTTTTTTTTTTAATAGTGATTTCATGGGGCATTCATGGAATGAATGGAGCTTGAAGCTGATATTCATGGGATAATATATATAATATATATATATATTATATCCTCCGGGAATCAACCTCGCATGCTGGAACATGACCCATTTATACAGTAATTGATTTTCCCAGCTATAAATCTCCATTTAGTTCGGGGAATTCCCAGCTTGCCATGTTTGAGGACACCGGAGGGTACTAAGCAATGCTCTGAAACAGAGGATGTGAGTACGGCTGAAGAGACGAGTCGCGCAAGCGATGTGTCAATCTTGGATTTGCTAAAGGAACCCCCCTATAGATTCCCTAAGTGGATTTCCACTTGGGAAAGTAGAAATCATTTTCAGCAAATCCAGGTCATGCTGTACCCCAGCCCGTGATCGTCTAACTATATAGTAACTATATCCCAAAATCAACCCCTGCTTCGTGGCTTGCAAGCAAACCTGACTGCTTGAGGAGGGGTTCATACACCCAACAAAAATATTCCCAATCAAAAAAACAAAGTAGCCAATGTTGCAGTGTTAAACTGGTGTGTAGTTTCAACCCCTCTGAAAAATGTGAGTTCGTCAGTTGGGATGATGACATTCCCAATATATGGAAAGTCATAATCCAGTCATGTTCCAAACCACCAACCAGGCAGTGTTAAATGTAAGAAATCCTACATGCAAAAATGGGGGGACCCCAAGCAACCTCAAAAACCATGACCTCTTCACAAATAGATCGACCCATTTGGTGGACTATTTTTTTTTTTTGGTGACTACGTATGCAATCCCAACAAACCCCATTGAATCCAAATATAATACCCTCCGGTAATTTAACATAGCTATTGAAAATGGCCCATGTATAGTGGATTTACCCATTGAAAATGGTGATATTCCATAGTTATGTTAGTTTACCAGAGGGTACCAGAAAAGCCAAACTAAATCATTACCCATTCAACCCCTGTATAGTAAATCACCAGTAAATCCACGGATGGTTGTTATCATACTGCGAGCTACTCATCACCCATTAGAGAACCGGAAACAAATGATGGTTTCCTGATGGTAGCGAAGAGTTCCGACATAAGAAATGGTCATTTGAGACAACCACAGTTAATTTCATTGTGTTTCTGGTTGTTTGAGGTTCCATAATCCAAGCTCCCTAATATTGGACACCCCTCTAGAAACCATGGTTTTTTGTTGGGAATTTACACATCATTGGGACCATTTGGGAGATGTCTAATATTAGGGGATGGGATTATCCCCATCAAAAAAAAACTGCAGGGAGTCCAAGTGAAACAACCACTTAATCATCAATAAATCCAATGATGCATGGCTCTATGCGGTTGGCTCTGTATGCCCCATGTAAAAATCCCAAAAAACATCGCCCAGCAAATCACATTAAGTTCCATTCAGTACCGTGTGAATCCCATCAAATGCTGATAAATATCCCAATAAACAGATCTTTCATTAAATCCAGAATAGCAATCTAAATCCCAATCCAAATCACGATATCTCATGATATCCACATCAAATTTCCATAAAATCCCTATAAAACCCTATAAATTCCTATAAATTCCCGATTTCACCACCTCCTGAAACGGTGTTTGGCCGTGCCCCTGCCCCAGCTGCCCCAGCTGCCCCCGAGCCGCCTGGAAGGTGAGTTCGCCCTTGCAGGCTGCGTCCGCTTCACGCACCAGCAGCTCTACATTCACCTCGGAGCCAAAAAGCCGAAGGACGTGGTTCTGCGGTAAGTCTATATATATATATAGTTCATATATATTTTAACACATATGCATATATATATAGTGATATATATATGTATATATATATATATATGTGTGTGTATATATATATAACTATATATATATGTGTGTGTGTTTAAAAATTGTGTAAAACAACATTCATATGAATAAAATTGATATAAAAAGAACAGATGGATGGATATTGATACTTCATGTCACTTAGTAAATACTATGTCTCCCTATATTTCTAGTTATATATAATAGATCAATCAAGTGAATGAGATTGTATGGGTATGAACTAATATAAAACTGGATCGATAGATATCAAAACAAGACATAGACTGATCAATGAGCTTTCGATGAGAATGGCCAGGGCAGTGACCTCTACAATGCCTTCACCATTCTTGATTGTATGTTTTTGTTCCTCCTACTTTTGGCTATCTACTTTTTGGAGATATGATTGGGCAAGCTGCAGTGCCCAAAGTATAATCATAACTTATGGGGTACCTAAAAAAAGCAGAAAGTGTCCAAAACCCCTTGGAGTCCAGAAATGACTACAGTAATTAAGGGGTAAAACCCAACACATCTCAAAACTAATCCTCATATCGCCACAAATGGGTGGTTAAGGAAAAAAAACATATAAAATTCTACTACGTAGTCTTACTATTGGGTTTACCACATCAACATACATCAACATACATCAACATACATCAACATACATCAACATACATTAACATACATCAACATACATTAACATACATCAACATACATCAACATACATTAACATACATTAACCACACTTTTCTTCGGTTGCACCAGCGTCGGCCCATCTGACCCAAGTGGCTCCCTCAAAGGTTTCACCTGGGAAGCTCCAGCGGTGACCAACATACAGGATGGGGCCCCCAGTCGAAATCGCATTCAGTTGCCTATGTTGAAAAAGTGGCTGAAAACTATGGTTTATGGTAGATAATGGTAGATAATGGTAGATAATGGTAGATAATGGTAGATAATGGTAGATAATGGTAGATAATGGTAGATCATGGTAGACAATGGTAGATATAACATGATATAACCAACTAGTCAATGATTCATTGGGGTTTTCTCATGGTTAAACCAACGAACTACCCTCTGGTAAACTAACATAACTATGGAAAATCACAATTTTTAATGGGAAAACTCACTATAAATGACCATTTTCAATAGCTATTTTGACATTACCAGAGGGTAGTTCATGGTTCATGGGGGGCCTCCTGTAGACCAGGTATACCTGATGGGCCTGTCACCGGGTCACCTGGGTCACCTTTGAGGGGGGCCGTCATCCCAGTTCTGAATGGTGCACCAGCGCACCGCATTTCACAAGGAATCCAAATGCTCAACACATGGAATTTGGGGATTTAATGGGATTTAATGGTGATTTATGGTGATTTAATGGGATTCAATGGGGATTTGTAGGGGATATAATGGTACATATACCATTTGGTTATGACTAACAGTTCGCCATGGAATTTATCCACCCATGTTTAAATATGTTTAAGAACGGTAAACCATCGATTTCTATGGGCCATGGTTTCCATGGCTTCCATGGTGAGCCCACCATTTCCGGTGATCCATCGCCTCCCAAGGCAACTACTCAGGCAGGGATGATAGCGGTTTTCTAATCAAATTACGCATGGCGAATTGTAGAAACATTGCGCTCGGGAAAGTTGCTGCAATTTTCAGAATCGACAAGAGAAAACACATCACTGAAATATACTTACCTTAATTACCAGTCGTTTGACCTAAATAGCTACCCACTTCTTCTGGCAAGACCAGTTTGCGGTCACTCCCCAGCCAGGAACTCGAAAGTCCCCCAATTAGATCAATGTGCAACTGATCCTCCCATTAAATCTGTATTGTCCTGCCAGCCGTCTTTGAATTCCATATATCTGACCTGATGGGAGGAAAAAACAACAACTGCTTTCTGGCAGTAAAAGAAGGCATAACCTCAAAACTGAAACCACCTAGCTATGTACAGTTGCCCATCTTTAGATCATTTAAACATGGTTAACACTATTTTAATATATGTTACCCTCTGGTAAACTAACATAACTATGGAAAATCACCATTTTTAATGGGTAAATCAACTATTTCAATGGCCATTTTCAATAGCAAACTGTTAGTTTACCCGAGGGTATATCCGATTAATATCCCTTTGAATCACTATAAAATCCCATCAAATCACTATAAATCACTATAAAATCCCATTAAACCACTATAAATCACTATAAAATCCCATTAAACCACTATAAATCACTATAAAACCCCATCAAATCACTATAAATAGTGATATGTTTATCACCACCGAGGCGCCGATGACTTTCCGCAGGTCATCCGGGCTAATGGACCCCGAGCCGTCCGCGTCCAAGCGGTGAAACGCCGAGAACACGGCCTCCTTTCCGAGATCTCCGGTGATCGGTGGATGGGGGGAGAGTACCATCCACCAGGTGTTGAAATATGTTTCAATGTTCCATATAGCTATAGATATCTATAATGTATTAGATGGATAAGTGGATATAGATGATACATTAGATGGATATCTATAGATAATGTATTAGAGTATTAGATGGATAAGTGGATAACTGGATCAATACCTATTATATAATACCATTTTTAGAGGGATGAACATCCATAAATCCCAGCTATTTTCATGTGAACAGAAGGGGTACAAGGTTTTGACCCACTGCCAAATATGTTTCAATGTTCCATATAACTATAGATACTGTATCTATAATGTAATAGATGGATAAGTGGATATAGATGATACATTGGATGGATATCTATGGAGAATGTATCAGATGGATAAGTGGATAACTATAGATGATGCATTAGATGGATATCTAAAGACAATGTATTAGATGGATAAGTGGATAACTATAGATGATGCATTAGATGGATATCTATAGATAATGTATTAGATGGATAAGTTGATAACTATAGATGATGCATTAGATGGATATCTATAGATAATGTATTATTAGAGTATTAGATGGATAAGTGGATAACTGGATAACTTATATAGATGATGTATTAGATGGAGGTTGAAAATCATAAGATTCAATATGTTAAAAAGACTATAGAGTTGAAGTCAAAGGTTGAAGATTGTCGCATACGTTTGAGCCAAATCAATAGGACAACAATTCCCGAACCTGAACATTACGTAAAATTGCCAGCCAAATCAATAGGTCCCGGGCCCTTCGGAACTGCACCGCTCCGATCTTCGATATCCATGCTTGGTTATTCTTACCCAGCTTACCATCTTTAAGCTTCACTGAGATGTGGATCCGGCTGGTCAGAAGCACAAACTCGGAGATCCTAGGCATGAAAAAAAACATTGAACTATGAACAGGCAAATTTGGTCTACATCCTGGTGATCAAACATGGCAACGGAATTTATTACATGTCCCACTTACACCTGATTTTCTCATTTACCCTCTGGTAATTTTTCCACGCAACTATGGAAAATCCACCCATTTTTGGATATCTAATTAAATCATCCTAAACATCTTAAGCCATGGTGGAACCAAAGCTATCTCATAACGTTCCAGCTCTCCGGCTTCGCCAACCGCGGTCCCCGTATGGAACCGCGGTCCCCAACCGCAGTCGCCTTTCGGATCTGCTTCCGCACATCCAAGGTCGCAGCCAAAAAATCGGAGTAATACACCTGTTCCTCGGCCATTTTTTTTTGAGCCTGATCAAAACTCACCTTAAAAACGACTTCGCTAAATGGAAACTCCACCCATTTTTAGCTAGGTAAACCATCGAACTAAATATGGACCATGGCTTCCATGGCGAACTGTTAAATAACCAGAGGCTATATCCATGTATAGTATGAATTTACCCTGCAAAACTGGGTGAACTATGTAAATGTTAGGTAGATATTCCAGCACCATAGAGCATATGGGTATGGATGCGAACAAGCCTATGATCTGTCCCAACTGATGACTAATATGATGTCCTGGTACCAAGAACAGTTGGTCAGTTGGAGATGTACCAACTCATGAAAATTCATATTGTATCACCATGGTTGAAATTAATACGGCAATGTCTTCTAATTGGGACACTCCACAAAAATCATTAGTTTCCCCATCAAAATGATCAGAGTTGGAAGATTTTGGGTTCCCCCAGCCAAAGAAGCGCCCATATGCGCCCATATTTCATGTTCACTGACCATGTAGCGCCCCCTGGTTCCAGATGAATTGGTGTATAAACCCACCTAACTATCGACTAGTTTTATATTACTTCATCCCTCATCACCATCCCAACATAACCCAACAGTTCACCTTGCTAGGTTTACAAGCCTTACCAGTAGCTTAGGAACTGGGGCACCCTGGCTTCCCTTGTAATACCAAGTTGTCTTCCGGTAATCCATCGATGTTCCAACTGCCACCGTTTGCCGACCGAAGGGTAAGCCCCATGTTTTTCTACAGATCGCAATATGTTTGCCCAACAACTGCTTCCCGGTAGCCAAACATGGCTGGGAAATGCCCCAAATATTGACAAAATAAGGGAAAATCATCATCGGAACTGGTGATGTCGTTTGATTACCCAAAAATCAACGGAGGTGAACCACCTACCCTGCACCAGAAATTTCCCAGTCGTGTGACATCTCCATTCGCGTCCAGAACTTCGAAGAGACTGCCGATCACTTCCTTGCTTCGAGTGATAGTCTGATGTCTTGTCACAAGGTGGGTCACCCAGTTGTAAGTTGGTCTATCAATCTCATGAACTATATTGTTCTGGGTAAATTACAATATTTCACTAACCTGAATTTTGCAGCCAATTGGGGATGATTTCCCTTATTAACCATGATTCCAGGCTTCGGTCGCAGTGAGGTCGTGATCAAATTTACCCAGATGGAAACCACCATATCATTATAAATTAAATCATCCAATATATAAACCATATCATCCATTTTAATAGGATTTTCCATTGTAAACCATTTTAATCATACGTATCCCCCATAAACCCAAGCTAACCAAGTGAAAAACGTCAACCTCGCTATCTAGGGGCCCGCCCGTATGAGCCTCCAAAATGGAGAGATCCAAGACTAAACCATGGCTTCTCAGGGAACACCCAGCTTATTCGGTGGAAGAATGCACCGTCAAATACTTTGGACAATTTACAAGTACCCAACAAAAACAATTGAAAATGAGGTTGGATAATATGCATATATTATATATATATAAAGGATTGGCAATAGATTTGGGGTGAAATGCAAATGATTTGGGATGGTAAATGCCCCTATAAATATTTTCAGGAAATCATAATCCCATCTAACATAATTTAACTATTCCCTAAGTTCTCCCGGGGGCCATCCAGCCCCCAGCCCTCATCCCGCCAATCCTTTTGCTGTGGCATGATCCAAAATAAATCTACTTTTTTACTTGACACTTGATTCGGGGGGGTGATCTACAAGTTTCGTCCGAAACTCACCTAAATCAGGTCATTTTGGAGTCCTATCTACGAAACCAAAATCAAGTAGCAAGTAAAAAAGTTGATTTAAATGCTCTACTTTGTAGATGTCAACATTGGAATTTTGAAGTCCCAGATCTGAGCTTTTCAACTGAAATTTGTAGAGATTCCAGGGAAAAGGGATGTGTTGTAGATGTCTACTGCTGAAAATCACAGGCTGAGATCTACGACATGCTCAGCAAACCTAGGATTTAGGAAAGTTTCAATTGAAACTTGCAGAAGTCAACATCCATTTTTTGGACATGGAGATCTACAAGATCACCTTTTCTGCTTGCATTAGATTTGGGATCAAGACTTCAGGGGTCCTTGCCAAGCAATAGTACGCCACCAAGAAGTCAACATACACCATATCAAAGGAATATTTAGGCCCCAAACTCAATGGGCATCACAGATATTTACAAATATGTAGAATAGTAATAATAGATCGTCAGATAGGTTTAACACTTATAGGTCCCCAAGAAGTCAATGTATACTATACAAGTTTAGGTCCCCAACTCAATGGACACTACAAATATATACAATAATGCTAGCCAAAATTGGGACCCCAAATCAAATGCTCTTGGCCCAAGATCAAGTGCTATTCCTTTATATATATATATATAATATTTTTTTAAAAAAAAAAAAACATATTTACATATATTCGACATGGATTTACAAGGATTGATATGGGTTGCTGCCTGGCCACCTGAGATACGTTTGTGAGGAGTCACAAATAAAAATCACCAAAAACTGGCTATAACTTTCCTATGATTAATTGTAACCACGACCAGGATGGAGTGAATATTCCAACAGTTATGACACAAGTGGCGGAACATCTCAACACATCCCAGCTTACAAAGATTCCGTCGTGCAAAACGGCTGACGATTCAAACATCTGAGAAAAATACTCCACCTGGAAAACCCAAACAGGCCCTGCAACGCAAGAACGGGCCACAAGAGAAGGTGAGAAGAATCCAGTGCAGGCCGTTGAATATGTGGTTTATCACTTTTTTTGGATTGTCACTTGCCGTAATCATTGGCAGTGTTCAAATCCCCTATACAAATGGAGGTTTCTAGCTGGGAAAATCATCTTTATCGCTGAGGATTTTCCAGCAAACCATGGTTGATTGGAGAAGGCTAAGAGGTCTATCATATGTCTATCACCAAAATTTGGATTATATGATATATCATCGTGCTTATAAAGTGGTCCATCACTATCTTCTTGGATCAATATACATCGTATTCTATCAATTTCCCTCCAATTCGTGCAACTACTTTACCAATCCCATATGCTCCATGGTGCTGGAATATCTACCTATAAGATTACATAAATCAGCCAGTTTCGTAGGGAAAATTCATACTATACATGGAGCATTTAAGGGACTCTTCATGTTCTCCAGCCCCGCCAGGCCCAAAAAAAACCGCCATGGCGATGCCCGAGGCACGGACTTGGCCCGTCGCAGCCGCGCCGCCGGCGTGCGCGGCGACTTGGGGGTGGAGGCTCCGGAGACAGCGCCGGAGGCCGTGCCGCCCGTCTCGCCCGCCTCGTCCTCGCCGCGGATGGCGCGCTTTAGTTCCTGGCAGAAGAGGAAGTGAAAGATAGTACTCCAGGAAAATTCTGGAAAACGATGGAAAACTACTATGGAAAACTGGAAAATTGTGGAAAACTTTGGAATCCATGGCCATTTAGTTCGATGATATTCGATTATAATGATGGTTTACCTGCTAAGAATGGTGTCTCCATATGTGAAATTACCAGAGGCTATAAATGGCCACGGGCAATAAAGTCATGACACATCTCTGTTTCTGGTTGGAGTGGATGGGTGAAAAATAGGAGAAAAATTGTGTCGCGATTCCTGGCCCATCGTTCGTGGTATCCCCATTTTCTCTTTCACATGGGTGTGTCTGAAAATGTTGTGTACCCCTTTTTACCCAATGGTTTTGCTGATCATTATCCCGTTTTTAAATGGCTATTTCATTGGGAAGATTAACTCAACATTTTCAGACAAAGCCACATCAAGAAAGGCCCCAGCCAAGGCACCGACAAACTGATGGTGCCTTCACCAGTGGAGTCCAATGCCAAGAACGTGTCCTTTTCCGTGGGAAATCCATGGGAAAGCGGGCAGGAAAGCCATGGGGCGGCCATGGTGCAAAAAGGTGGTTTCTATAGTGATTTCATATGATTTAATGGGATATTAAATGGGATATGATGTTTTCCTGAAAGTCCCAAGAGCCTCAAAAAATCTCAAAAATCTTAAGCCACTTGCAAACTGAAAAGGATTATGCGCATATATAATCACACATAATATATATATACATATAGAAATGCCAAGAAATGCGGAGTGTTTCAAACGGCCAAGAAAATTATGGACATGCCAAGTGTCTTGCCGCAGAGTGTTTTACGGAAGGAACAACTTTAGCGCGCTTTGACCAATCACTCTACTGAATGGCAGTCAAGCTTCAACAACCTTGAAAAACAATGCTCACAATTTCTCAAGATTTTGCACGATGTTCTACGCACCTTACAGGTCTTTGTGTGTCTTTTAGGGTTTTTGCTGGTACGTTACGAATCGTACTCACGGAGGTCTTCTCGCCGGACTTCTTAGTCCGGTACTGATTCAGTACATGTAAATAACACTTTCAGGCATACTTTATTAAACATGGCTAAGAAAATGCCCAGTCATAGGGGATTTCATGGGAAGCGATTTTACATCATCGTCATAGGGGCATCAATGTCATAAACCTCAGGGGTAAAGTGAATTTATCAATTACCCTCTGGCTATTTAACATAGCCATGGAAGCCATGGCCCATTTAGTTCGATGGTTTACCTATTAATAATGGTGATTTTCAATAGCTACGTTAAATAACCAGATGGTATATCCTGATATATCTGATAGCTCTATCCCATTATTACCCTCCAGTAAATTAACATAGACCCTGCCAGATAGGGTTTGGAAGATTAGTTTCCACTAAAAATTGGTGATTTTCAGGGTCTATGTTAATTTACCAGAGGGTAATCATCTATCATGATCTACCATTTTATATGGCATTGGGTTTGATACATCAATCATCTTATCACAATAAGTTCCGTGCACTATATTGACTCTGTACAGTACTCATTATATACGAACATATCAGATGATATTCCCATGATATCAACAATCATATAACCATTAATTAATATCAATTATATACAAGTTATAACATTATCTCAACCTTCAAGTAAAGTTAGAAACAACAAATTCACAACATCTTGACGCTTGACATATAAGAATTCATAGTTGACATAAGCATCATGAAAAATCAACCACCCATCATATGTATCAGCCATTTGAATCCAACCACCACTTCATCTCTCGACCAAGGCGCCCGAAGCTCTTTGGTCTCTTCGGGCGCCAGCTCTTGCGCCAGCAGCTGCAACACCGCGCGGCGCGCCCGCGAGGTGTCCGCGTAGTGCCGCAGGGAGCGCAGAGCATCCTGTGGGACGCAAGGTGGGAAGCTGGGAAAATCCACTCCAAAATCCCGGGAAAAATGGGCAGTTCAGGATAGAAATATGGGGAAATGATGGGACATTAGTGCGATTTTCACTGGGGGTTTAGGTGATGTTTACGGAAATGATAGATTTCACCCAGGGGGATGCTGCAGTTTCACTCAAAACAACATTGACATTTGGACGTGATTGATCTAACACATATCTAACATCAAAATGACCCACATTTTAAGAGGGGCTTTGTATATTTTCGCGCTACGGTATCGCAATTTTAATGGCATCTTTTTGGATGATTTGTCTATGAAAACTGGTGATTTTCCATCTCGCGTTCACTAAAAAGCAAATGACCTGACCGCAATACAGCCATATTCCCCATTACCCTCTGGTAATTTAACATAGCTATAGAAAATCACCATCTTTGATAGGTAAACCATCTATAAATGGGCCATTTTCCATAGCTATGTTAGTTTACCAGCGGGTATTTTGGATGATTTTCCCAGCTGGAACCTCCATTTCTAGATGATTTTCCCATGAATTCTGCAAGCAAAGCACGACTTTCTGCAAGAAATCACCGGAGGGGCAATTCGCGCTCTGAAAATCCCATGATCATCATGGTCTCCACCCAGCTCCGCCCCCCCCCTTAGTAGCCTTGTCCAAGACAGGTCTGCCGGCTGTGTGTCCTCAGTTTTTGATGTTTTTTTCCATATAACTTTGGACCGAAGTTCCGAAGGAAACTAGCTTTGAACTTCCCCATGACCATTGCTGAAGGGTTGGCAAGTTGGCCGATTTCCCATGGCCATGGTGGGATATCCAACTTGGGAAAATCATGGAAAATCGGATCCGAAATTCATGGACACACTAAAAAAATCCAGGCAATGCATCTTGTTATATAGTATTATATAATGAATTATACTATTTTTCATATTTTATTACAGTATCTTCAAGATCATTGCCATAGTCCATGATCCCCATATGGGTGTTCATATGTTCTTATTACCCTCTGGTAAACTAACAGTTTGCTTTGAAAATCGTAATAGAACTAGTTGATTTACCCATTAATAGCATGGTGATTTCCATAGTTATGTAAACGTTTACCAGAGGATATATCCCAGTAGTATCCCATTAGATCACCACAATCCTACTAAAATCCAAAGGCTAATCCATATCATTGCTATAGTGCATTATCTTCATATCATTGTTATACTGGTTGGTGGTTGGGCCACCCCTCTGAAAAATGATGGAGTTCGTGTCAGTTGGGATGATGAAATTCCCAACTGAATGGAAAGTCATAATCCAGTCATGTTCCAAACCACCAACCAGTATATATATATATATATATATGTATCCCATAGATATCCATAGACTATATATATATACATCCTATGGGATTTCTACCTTCCATCATCAAAAATCTTAAAAAATACCTCCATGATATCCCACAGGTTGTTGGATCGAGGCGTCGAGCTTTGATCCAGCGATGTGACAAGGCTTCGCCTGCAGCGGTGCCGGCGGTGCCGGGCCTTGCGTGGTGTGTGAGTCATCTTCCTATAGGTTACAATGTGGTGCCCCCAAGATAGCTAAATTAGTTCATAACTCTAATAACTAGGATTTATGGTAGATATATCTATAGTTAATGGGACTATAAACCAACTTATAACTGGGGGGGCACCACCTTGTATGAAGTTCTAAGGAACAAATCAACACAATGGAAATAGATATAGTGTGTAAATAATAATGATAATTATAAAAATGCATACATACATGTGTATATATATATACATATGCTACGTACCAGTGAAATAGGACATAGCGAAGATCTAAGTCCTAACTCATCAGTAGGGAGTATACATACAAATGTATATATATATATACATACATATGCATATGTATATATATATATTATATTTATCATTGTTCATGTAAAGAAGAGATGACCTTTGTGCTTGGTAGCTTAAAATTTAAACGTGAACCATCTTTCACGAAGATCAAAGTGTGACCGGTAGATTGGTGAAAGATCATCGTCATGTTTGGGTCCATGTGGAGAGAATATACTCCAATGGTGTTCAGAGTTTTTTTGAAGAAACCATAGTTGTTTAATTCATTTCTAAGTCCAATTGCCACTATTAAGTCACTTACTAAATCATTTTCTAAGTCATTTCTGAGAATACTAATTCCTAAGTCATTTTCTAAGAAACCATGATCTTAAGTCATCTTCCAAGTCATTTCCAAGTGAATAAACAAGTCGAATGCCATGTTGGGACGCTTCCCGCATCGATGCACGGCGTCGTAGGGCCTACGTCCATTCGTTGAAGCGGATCCCTCACCAAAAGACACCTGCAGGGGACGCTTTTCACAATTCTTGGTGGTTGGAGGATATAGCAACCTAAAAAAGACACCAACAATGAATAACTAAATAAATGGGACTTGTTATAATATATCTAGAGAAGCTATACTATAAGAGAACCTCGTTCTAGTAATTACATTAGATCAAATATAGTACATAATACATCATAATACATAATGATCAAATCTTTCAAAACATCCAAGGCAACCATGATTCGGACCAATGGCCTGGATATCGGTTGAATATCCCCAGGAAATTCGGGCAAGAAACAAAACCAGAGGCGTGAACAACAGGACAGTTTTCCCCCGCGGTCAAGACATCCCCAAGCATCCACACCCATTGCAGATTTGATGGTTCCCTAAATGTCAGCCAACATCTGCGTCTATACAAAGCGGTAAAAAGGCAAGAAACACCACGCATTTATTCAGGCGTATAAGACCACCTAAAAGGTAAATTTAGGTACGCTTGATGACTACAGTATAGATAATAGTGCAACCTAAAAGCAACGTCGATGCGGGTCATTGAACATTTATACCTAATGATCCCTAGTGATACCACATTCCAAGTAATGTCTTAATAAGTGTAAACCTCAAGAAATTGGCATACCCATACACACATACATACACACAAACACACACACTATACACGCGGTACAACTTAAATGAAATTAATTGCTAGAACACTTTTAACGTGGTCATTGAACACTTATACTTGAATTTGCTTAAGGAGGTCCAAACAAATACAACAATACAAAACATATATTCCCTATCGGGTCCCCCAAATGGTGAATTTCCCATTGGGAAAATAAACAATCGCCTTCAACAAACCCAGGGTAGAACTACCTAACCACACTTTTTTGAATGTGGGCAACCCAATGCCATAAACCCAGCATTTGGGGATGGCTCATACCACCCATCTATGGTGATGACTTGGGGATGTTTTTTTATTGGGTTTCCCACACTATCAATGATCCAAGGCTTCAAAAAAACACAAACCACCCGCCCCGAAGGGGCACTTCACGAAGTCCACGGCATCCTCTGACACCTGCACCATCTTGGATGAAGCTGGCTATTCCCTGAATCGATTCCCCCTTTCCCTTAATGGACCAATGGGAAAACGACCAACGATCACCAATCGGTGCACATTTAAGTAATTTTCCACAGCAATCAGAAATTGACATGGAGCCGAAAAGATCCCTATGCCAGGGCTCAGAATCCATCCATGACAAATGTGACAAATGGCGCTTGGGAAAACATTGTTCCAGGTCAAGATCAATTTCCCTAGTTGTGCACGGGTAAAATATCCGCGAGCATGTCAAGAACATGAGCAATCTTGAACGAGTCCCTGCAAGACAATGTGTGTTTTCACTAAAAATCTTTGACTGGTAGCTAAGATTAAAAGCTTAAACATGATATCCCCATGGTCTATCTGGGATATTCATGGATATTCCCATTTTACTGCACTAAATATGCAAACATTGCCATAGATCCAGCTAATCTTGGAGCCTTCTTGACCTGGTCAAGTTGTGTCCTCTTGGAACCAATGGATAGTTTGGGTGCCAAAATAGCTATGGCTATGGGCATGTATGGGTCAATTGGTCAACTAGCAGGGTACCACTAGGGTACCCTGGATATATCTTACCGGATCCCAATACTGAAGAATAAGAAAACAGATGCAGCATCCTTCCCTCGAAAAAAGAGGTAAGACAAATTGATACCCATTTTTGTGCATGTTCAGTTTGTCAAGGGGAATCCAAGTTTGACCCAGAGAAAAAGAACCAATCATCTAAATAATCAATCCCCCTACTAGTAAATATGTCCCATACGGGCCTGTCTAGCCTAGGGGTGTATTTAATATGAGGGGGAGGGTGTTAGTATATCTCTCTTACTAATGTTAAGGGTGTGGCGAGACAGTGAGCATCCACTGCAAGTAGCCCAAATTACCCATGGCACAAGTATATTTAGCCCAAACAGGCCCTAGTTAAACTACGGGAGAAGTGACCATCGATTCATTTATAGTAATTTGTCACACTTTGCTATGGAAAGTCACCATTTATAGGTCATCCATCAAGGTGCCATGGCTTAACAATAGCCTCGTGCAAAATTACCAGAGGCTACCAGTGAACCTCCCCACATTGAATGCTGGGCATGTCAGCATCCTCGGACCAGCATTTGCCGAAAAAATACTTACGATTGAAAGTTCTCACCGGCTGACGCGTTTCCATACGAGTCATGTTCTAGCGTGAACGAAGCTTTTAAGTGGGATATTGGTGTATATATATATAGATACACCACATACATACACCGTGTTTAATTATGATATATACATAGATACAGAGCTCCGAAAATCTCCCAAAGCTATGGTTACCCTCTGGTAATTTATTTAACATAGCTGTAGAATATCACAAGTTTTAATAGGTAAACCATCGAACTAAATGGGCCATGGCTTCCATAGCAAACTGTCAGTTTACCAGAGGGTATATCCCGTGAATATCCCATTGAATCATTATAAAATTCCATTAAGTCACTATAAAATTCCATTAAATCACTATAAAATCCCATTAAGTCACTATAAATTCCATTAAATCACTATAAAAGTCCACTAAATCACTATAAAATCCCATTAAGTCACTATAAAATTTCATTAAATCACTATAAAATTCCATTAAATCACTATAAAATCCCGTTAAATCACTACAAAAGTCCATTCAAATACCATTGAATCATATTGAATCACTATGGAAGTCCCAAAAAATCACCGATTCCTCCAGCTCCACAAAGTGCTGCAGGATTTCGCAAGCCATCAGTGGATCCAACCAGCCTTCCGCCACCGACTCTTATGGCTCCAATCAACGTTGGCGCAAAGGATGTTGGAGCGCATGTCCTGCCAGCCAAAACGTTGATTTTAATGAGACCATGAATATCATAAATGGTGTTATTCATGATTGATATTTATGGATATTTATGGATATTTATGGATATTTATGGGACCATCATAGAAATATAAAGGGAATTGATGGATATCTATGGGATATGATTATGGACTTTGATCTAGTGGGGATAATAACATGGTGGGAGATCATGGTGATCTCGCCATTGGGGACCACCCTGGGACCACTCTCTACGGTTCAAATGTGGCTACTCCAATAGCTGGATGGTTTATAACCACTAAACTGATCTGAAATTTTCATGATTTGGGGATACCCCCATTACCATCCATAGTCCTATATAGTCCTCATATTTGAAACCACAAACTGGTGTTCTTGAAAACATCTTCCATTACCCATTGTTTTTGTTCGAAGATCTTGGTTCGGTTCCTGTAAATCGTCCCTTAAAAAAATCAATCCAATCCTGGGATTTTTGATGATTTTTGGATATGATATGACCATATATGACCAACCAAAGAGATGAGGAGCAAACATGGATTTAATATGAATTCATCAACAGCCTTAAATATGTGGGAATTGAACCAATCAACAAGCAAAATATGTGGGATTCGGACCGTGAATGTCAATGGATTTGCCAACTGCAATTGAAGTGGTGCCACTGGTTTTCTTAGCTTTGCAGAATAAGCATCACTAGTGGCATCTGCGGTTGACCAGTTTGACCATCAGGACGCGTGGAAATCGAGCATCAAGAATCTGAAGAATAAGCCAACAAGTATATTTTGTTCGGTATATATATCCATATTATAAATAATGTATATATATATATTTAAATGTATATATTTATGTATTTCTATTATATTTCTATATATGTATTTATGTATGTATGATTATGTATGAATTCATTTCTTTGTGGGTAGCAACTGGTGGTTATTGGTTATAGTGGGCCCTTCTCGGGCTCATGCCCCAGCCAGCCTTCTCAGATCCATGAAAAGGCGGATATCCAACCTGCCAACAACCAGTCATAGGAGGGCAGCCCGAAGAATACTACTGTTAGTAGTTCAAGCACTAACTCACCTGCCATGTTTTGATTGTTGGAATTGTTGAAACTGTTGGAGTCCCAGCCATTTATCATGGTAAAATTGGGGATGGTTCACTATTGCTGCACTAACATTGTAGAAGGTGGGCCCCAGACAGTGACATGTTTGTTGGTTTACAACCCCCATGAATAACAAGAGTTAGATCATGTTATATCCCACAAACATCATTCCTATTCACCAAGTGATTTGCGTCAACTTAGCTATCATGCCAGGGCTATCAAGTCTATCAACCCCACCTAAGGTGACGGGTTTGAAACATGGCTGGACCCCTTGGGATTCCCATTTTTTTGGCCCTGTGAGGTTGTGTGTGTTTGAAAATGACCACTGTACCACCAACATCCACCAACTTATGGTTGTTTAATTAATGCTGTTTAAATGGGGGAGAGGATGATACATCCACCAACTTATGGCTGTTTAAATGGGGATTTTTGGATGATTAACAATCGACTTTTGGTGCTATTCCCCTGAATTTTCAGTTCCTGACCGTCTGTCATTTGAGGCCCGAATATCCCCGAATCACCGCCCAGCAGTTTTTTTGTATTGCTTCATGGCACCCCGGCTGTCACGACAAGCTGGGATCTCCCCAGAGGTTTACTCATAAACTCAATTCACTACAACTATGTTTACTAGAAATCATAGTTAATTAATGTTAATTGCCCTAGTTCACTTACCAAATTCTCCACCACCGTTCACGAATCATAACTGGGGCTCAACTGCCAGGCACGGCAGAGTTCTTCCAAGGTACCAGGAGCATGAAAACGATCACACCGAGGCTCCACAAGTCGCATTTGTTGGTGTAACCCTCACCTCACTTCGAAGGTCGTGGTGATACTTGGTGATACTTGAGCATTCACCTGCCACTTCTCTGGCCATTTCTCTGGCCAAGCTTAAAATAGCCCCCCCCAAAAAAAAACAAAAAACACGTAGCACGTAGCATATCGTATCATGGTTTTATCCCCATATCTTTATCAGATGAGGGGTCATGAGTTACGAGTACGTTGTTTCCCCCAGAAAGATCACCATTGGGTTGCTCCCGCCCAACCGCCCAAGTACGGTTGTGGAAACTGGAGACATACATATTATCGAGATATATCGAGATGGAATGACACATTTACCCCTGGCTATCATATCTATCATTTCCCTAGAAAAGCATCAGAAAAACTCTGGAACACGAATGCTTTACCTGTCGGTTGACCATTTGACCTGCACTCAAAAAGAAAGTAGCTGGTCGATAAGCCGAGCAACTTGGTGATCGTAAGTCTCCCGCCCCTGTTGCGTGGCTTATCCCAATTCTTAGTATGGTGATCATGGTGATCCACTACCCACTAAATGAAACTAGTCCCCATTTCGCAAGTTATTCCATACAAGGTGGTGCCCCTTGACTTATAAGTTGGCTATAATCCTATCCTTAACTATAGATACACCTAAAGAAACTTACTGGTGCTTAGCAGGGAATGAAGGAATGATCCATAACTAATAACCACTAGTAATAATCATCCCATTCCCCCAGCACCCTGCTAAGCACCAGTAAGAAAACCGTGGTTAACCTACAAGCCAACTTAGCTAACGGATCCGTTCACTAGTTACCACATCACGCACCGTGGGAATCCAAGAAACCCTTGAGAACATCTGGGCTCACGTATGCGATGCTACCACAGGATGCCATCCTCAGGATCCAATTCAGCCACTGCAAGATACTGCAAAGATGAAAACTTGAAATAAAATCGACGCTCTAATCGTGAAAGATATTGAAAGTTATAATTTTTCTGTATCTTTTTGAAGCCGTATATATGTATATTATAAATGGCATGACCACAAAACATAGCAGGTTTGAGATCATTATGAAAGAAATGTCAAAAAAACATAATCCAGCCCAACCCCGCTGTGGTTCAACTGCTGGTTCAGCAAAAAGAAAACGCCCAGGTGACCTCTCCAATATGTGGTCACCGAAATGGGGATGCTGTCTCCAGACTGCTTTCATGACAGAACGCATGTTTAAGCTGCGGTCCACAGAGCATTCTCAAAGTCAAAGGATGGTTTGTTGGAATTGAAGGGACCCTGGTCTCAGGCTGCTGCCTTGGGTTATGGAGTTCTTGTGGCCTTCATTGTCCGTTCTGTTGCCTTCTTTTTCTGGGTTCAAGGTCCAGGATTCTTGTTGTTGAAAGGCCTAATTTTGGTGGACAAACCAAAATATGAGCCACATTAAAAATCAAACACTTGATTTGTTGACAACCGGGAAAAAAACAAAAACAAAAAGAATATGCCAAAAGACCGTGAAGGTGTATATCGTTTTTAATACTAGTATCTATGTACAATAAATAATTCATATACACTATATATATACATATATATATATGATGTAATAAATAAAACAGAAATGTAAACAAAAAATGAAAAAATGAAAAAATATCAATGAGAAGAACACAACTCCACCCCACTCTCCTCGGTGCACAAAAAAATCGGGCCCCTGCGTCAGCCCAATGAGCTGAGGGGCATCAGCGTGGAGGGGTCCCAAATCTTGGCAAAGCCAAAGTCGATCAGCTTTAGGGAAGCCTCGATCGGAACGGATCGAAAAAGGGAATTCTGAAATATGAAAATCCTAAGTGATTTAAGTCAAGGATAGTTGTAATAATTTCACATATATATATATATATGGAATAAGCCGTGAAAAAAATTAGACTACTTGGAGGACCATCTGGATGTTTGTCAGTGTTTCTGGGGTTTAATAGGCTTAGTTCATCTATTTCTAAATGGGCTATCTTTAGTCAGGTGACTTCAACTCACACCAGAGTTACCTTCACCACTTACGATTCCTGGGATGATCCTCCATGGAAGAAACTGCCCCTGTCAGACAGGTTTAGTGCTGTTGAGGCATGTTTCACATGATTCCTTGAAGGATCTGAAATATCACTGGTTGGTGGTTTCAACCCCTCTGAAAAATATTATTCAGTTGGGATGATTATTCCCAATATATGGAAAAATAAAAGCCATGTTCCAACCCACCAACCAGATCACAAATATCGAAGAACCTATTGATGATGAGGAAAAATGACGTGGTCATCTTCAATCGATTGGAATTTCATATGAATTCTTCAATGGGAGACATCGTTAATTAGCATTGACTCGGTGAACATTGAAATCACATCAAGTTGTGGATAGAAGGTGCCAGCCCCCCAACACCACAGCAAATGGCTGTGCCATGCTGTTCTCTCCCATGGCCCCCATTTTTTTGGTTGGACCCATGGCCCCCCGTGCCCCATTTTTTGCAACTGTGTCGCAGATGGCTCAGTGCTTTCGTAGAGAAAGTTTTCCTAAAACGGCCAGTCGTCGCGGCAAAGTGGAACTGGTGGAACGGGACCCGTCCAAATGGATCCAAAAGGACCATCTTCTCACGTTTATGATGTTGATGCTAGACATGAACCAGTTTCCAGATTTTCCCATCATCAAAAGCCTTTTTTTTGCCATTATTTTTAATATAAATGATATAATTAACTAAGATTTCATCAACCATCAACATCAGCCTTTATGATTTCTGGTAACAAGCAGCCATAACTCCTACGGATCGTCCTACGGATCGAGCCAAGGCAGCCAAGGGTCTAATTTCAGGTCTCGATGGACCACCTCAGTGATGGCTTGGTGGCATTGGAGTGATGGCAACCCAGCAACATGGTTAAATGCCATAATAATTCATAGATGTTACCATTTGGTTATTTAACATAGCCATGGAAAATCACCATTTTTAATAGGTAAACCATCTATAAATGGGCCATTTTCCATGGCTATGTTAAAAAACCAGAGGGTAAACATCATATTGGATATTACTAACTAATCATAGATATTATTGGATATTACTACTATAATTGGATATTACTAACTAATTAATATTGGTTGTCATAATAGTGATATGATATCAGTGATATTACTCATTAATTAAGTTGTCATCACTAATTCACAAGCAACATTGTTAAATGCTTAACTATTAATTTTTAATTAATATGTAAATTCAAGGTTTGCCAAGTGATGTTTCACCATGCCCAGATTTGATTCATATACGACGGGGTCCACAAAAAATAACCCATGCCCTTCTTCAGTGAATGTTTCAACGGCATGACCGCTGCCATACAGACTTCGTTGCAGGGTGCAAAGAACTGGGACTTTCGAAGACTTCCCCAGTTCCCCTTTTCCCATCTTTTCCCCGTTTTTTTTTCCCCCCAATTCTTCCATACCCTCTGGCAATTTAACATAGCTATGGAAAATCACTATAAATGGCCATTTTCAATAGCTTTTTGTATGTTTACCAGAGGGTAATTCACGCTTTTCCCATGGTTTTTCCCAAGGTTTTTGTTCCCCATGACTTCTCCACCGCCAGGTCACATGATGCGCATGCAAATATCCCACCGCCAGCAGCATCTGCTGGGTGGCTTCCGCCGCATCAGCTTCGGCGTAGGTGCCCGAGCTCGAGAGCCCTAAGGAAACGTTGCCTTTTTGGAGGTCACAGGTGTTGTTTTGCAGCTTCTTCCAGGATATAAATGGACTAATCACTATGTATGGATCTTCATGGTATACAAAAAATGGCTAGATATCATTCAATATATGTTCCATTTTTATGAATGGACTAAGCACTATCAATGGGTAAGTATCTATCCAATATCTAGGTATCTATAGAATATCTATCTATAATAAGTGGTAAACCCAAGGATAACCAGCGGATAATATAGGGGGGTGTCTTAAAACCGGCTTTTAGTGTCCAAATTTAAGTTTAGTGAACATGGAAAGTTTGGAATGCCACCGAAATCAAATCAACGCAAAATGTCAACAAAATAACAAACCGTTGAAGATTGAGCTACTATGACTCTGACAGTGGGTCGGGTTCCAATTTCTTTTTAGTAAATTCCACTTTTTCACCATCCAATTCTCGACTGCAGCCAAGTGGACGGGAATAGAGCTCACCCCCTGGCGAAAATCGGACCATCGAGGCGTGTTTTTTCCGTGCTTTTTCTATTTATTTTTACAGGAAAAGCTTAAGCGGTTAAACCATGGGTTTCACCATCTGGGTGGTCGATTTTCCCATGAAGCCCAGGACTTTTCCCGCTCCAAACTTCGGTAATTTTGGTCCAAAATATGGTCCAAACACCGCAGCAGAGGGCATTTGGAGCACTAGTCACTCGGCTCCTGTAAAAATACGGATTTGTCCGAGTGAAAGTTGAACCAAACAGAAAAAGGGATCAGGAACCAACCGTTTTCAACACTGGATTAGTTTGGGCCATTTTAAGGGTGAACATGGGTGAACTATAATTTCCGGTGAGGCCAGCCAGTAGGGTCGCAAAAAAGATGCACAAACAAGTCTCCAGTCAGGATGAAACTTGATGAAACGTCTGAACACACTCAGAACTTTCTGAATCTGCAGATACCCGCGCAAATACCCGCGCAATCTGATGGCCAACACCTAGCCGCCCAGCATCCCAGCCGCCTTCGCAGCATTCTGTGAGCAGGGCAATCTCGGACTCGGTCCTGATGGTGGTCTCCCCAGGTACCATCAATTCGGACCCAGGCCCCTTCCCATTGCTACCCTTGACGGAGTTTATATGAAGTAAAGTGATTAAATGCAAAAAAGGGAAACACACGCACAGAATGCGGTTCAGAAAGTAATTTAGGGCCCTTGTAGCTAATCTACACTGATCTTAGATGCTTTTCCGGAAAGAGTATGCATTTTCTTTAGGTTGGGGAACATCTGTGAATACAAAGATTTCAAAGATTGCTGGTTGGTGGTATACCTACCCCTCTGAAAAACATGAAAGTCAAATGGTAGTATTATTCCCAACTGAATGGAAAGTCATAAAAGTCATGTTCCAAACCACCAGATTGACATAGACATGGAGAGAAAGATGGAGAGACTTTCCATCCAGACACGTCAACCCAGACGTCAACGGTCCAAGTGTCTCATATACGTCTCGAAGAGCCGCAATGTGCCTACCATGGCACATCTCACACGTCGGACCCTCCCTGTTTGACTGAAAATTGGTTGATAGGTACTCCCAGAATGGATCAGTTCATACTAATATCTATAGTAATTATATATATATAACTTGCTAGTAGAAGCCCCTATTTCACAACTAATCAGCCAGGGTCAATTGATCATTTGACTTCGGGCCTACTAAAACCTCAGTAGTTCCTAAGGCCCCAGGCCGTTCCAGTACCATCCCGCAAGGCTTGCAAATGTAGCTATATACAAATCTCTTCTACATGGAGCATATGGGACATACAAAAGTTCTAGCAGCGATATATCTATATCATGAGCATTCTATTCACAAAATAGGGGACCATACAAGTTCTCTTCCAGTAGTTGCCCATGGGCAAATATCATATCGTACCATGTACACTGCAATCTAGTGACCATGGCTGAAGACTACTAGCTATCATAGCCAAATGAAAATATATCAAGTTTCACCATCGGGTATCCGGTTGAAGTATATATATATATGGGTAAATTATAATATTTCACTTTTCTGAATCTTGCGGCCATTTGGGGATGATGTCCCTTATTAACCATGATTCCAGTGAGGTCGCAGTGAGGTCGTTATAATTTACCCAGTTATATATATATATACATACATATATATTATATGTGATAAAGTAGCATTCGAATGAGTTGGAATCATTCAAATAGCCAATAGCCAATAGCCCAAGATGGCTATTCCAATTCTACGAATATAAAACGCAAAGAATGGTTTACCTGATATGGGGGAGATTTACCATGGGGAAATATGTCCATCATACATATATATATATACAGATATATATATATATGTATATATTATACATATCTATATGTATGACATATCCATCATGAAATACCATCATATATTTCCATGTGTTCCCCTTTTCAAAGGTTGCAGCCATGGCCCAGTTGACTTCCCTGGCTAGGCACGGATGATCCAACATCAAGTAGATCTCCTGAAGAAAAACCGCCAAGCTCTCGGTCCCTCCGGGCATTTTAGTTATCTAACCACTGATGGCTTGTAATCATCCCAGGTGTAAAATCATATATCAACGGATTGGTTTAGGGGACAATTTACAGGAAAACCCTATATTTAATGGTAAAAACCATGGTTTCCTGTAAAATTTCCCTTAAACCAATCCATTGAATATAAGATCATGTAAGATCGTGTAACTATTTCATCATTTCCAGAGATGTCCAGAGATTTTTGCACCTCTTCACAAATCCAATTTGGAGGTTGCCATCCATCTTTGATACAATCAATGGGCATTTCAGGATCCTGAAATGGAGGTACTGTACCATATAAGGCCATATTTTTTAGGGATATTCCCTTACATAGGCCTGAAAAATAGGCCTTATATATGGTAGGTACCTCCAATTTCTGAAATGGCCATTGATACAAATCTCCACATCAACCGTTGGACATCGGACATCTGTCTGGTCCATCACCAACTATTCATCCTTATCATCCCGTAGCTACAAATAGCTATGAAGCACTTATGGAATGGAACATGGATGAGAAAAAATTGCCCATTTACCCTCTGGTAAACGTTCACATAACTATGAAACATCACCATTTTGTAGCTGGGTAAATCAACTATTTCGACTGGGCCATGTTCAATAGCAAACTGTTTGTTTACCAGGCCGGGTATAGTTCGACGGTTTACCTATAACCATGCCATGCAACAAATGACCGCTCGCTACCATAACTTTTTGACCCCAGGGCGGCCATAAATTTGGGCTCCATGGAACTTCCCAGATTCGCGATCCGAGGAAATCGCTTGTCCCTAAATGATGATTAGTAATCATTAGTGATTAATAATGGATAGTAATGGATAGTACTGATGTTAATAATGGTTAATGATGGTTAATGATGGTTAATGATTCAATGGGATATTAATGGGATACATATACCCTCTGGTAAACTAACAGTTTGCGAACTGGAAAATCACCATGATGAATGGCTAAATCCACTATTTCTATGGGCCATGGCTTCATGATCCTTAAGGTCCAGGCTGCCCAAGCTCACTAATCGGACTCAAAATCGGCTCACCCATCACCCAGTTTGGGATCCCAGTAAAATTGTGGAACCTACTTAGTACAATAACTTGGCTTAGTAGCTTGAAGATATACCCTCTGGTTATTTAGCCATGGAAAATCCACCCATGTTTAATAGGTAAACACAGGTAAACCATCTATTTCTATGGGCCATGGCTTCCATGGCTATGTTAAATAACCAGAGGGTAGATAATATTGTATAGATCATCAAAGAAAAAAATCTACTGGGATGCACTGGCGGAAAAAAAAACACTGGCGTTAAATTGGAGGATCATCCCACTGAGGAAGTGATGCATAACCCTGGTGATCGTAAGTCCCCTAAGTGGGTTGTCCCATCTATAAATGGATCATAACTATGTTCATTAACCACGTACTAAGTGGGATGGTCCTTCCTAAGTAGTTACTGATATTACTGGCTTTAAGAAAGACTCCAAACTATCCCGGACCCCGGAGTTGCGGCCCAGCATCCACTTCTGCAGTAAGTTGCTTCAGGACCTTTGGTTGGACCTTCAACTTGTGAATCCTCTTCAAGGCATACTTCCTCAGCATTTTTGCAGTTTCTTAACATAGGCCATAGGCCTGGTGGGTGACACCAACATGCGAAAACAAGCCCAAAATAAGTTGGAATCTAGCCAGTTGGATGGCTGCTGAAAAATGGATACGGGAACTTATTAACAAACCAGGGTTACCAGAAAGTGACCAACTGGGATGATCATCCCAATGGGAAGATCAGATCACACCAAAAACATCCAAAAACAATGATGAAACTCTTTGGTTTTGAATGGAGGCTGCTGTTATAGCTGTTGTAGCTATGGTGGCATCCGTATTCCCCCCACAAAAAAGGGGGTCAAAGAGCTACTAAAAGTTTCTCGACCACAGGTTTAAAGTAAACAAATAGAGCGAATCATTTCTTTGCAGGGCATCTTTATTGTTGGCCATGTGTTATTTTTTGTTGGCCTCTGATGCTCCCATGGGAGCAAGGTCTTTTTGGTGACCATAAAAAGCAAACATATGAAATCCCCGGCTGATTAACTCACGTGCTGATCCTTGGGCAAACAATGACCACAAATTCATCATGGCAAAAAAAAGGGGGCTTCCTAAGTCATGGGGGTACCCCAATAGCTGGATGACTTATAAAGGAAAACCCTATCAGAATGGATGATTTAGGGGTACCCCCATTTATGGATATTTATGGAAAACCCCATATGACAGATGCTTGTCTAAAATTGAACAGTTTGCTGCGGAAGCCATGGGCCCATTTAGTTCGATGATCTATTCAAATGGTCATTGTCCATAGCAAACTATGAAACTACCACACAGTGACTCACAAAAATAACTGGTTTTCAATAACCAGTTTCCACTCTGAGGTAACCACAAATGAAGAATGATGATATAAGATGATGTATGGTGATATGATATGTTATCTGAGTTATGTCAATTCACTTACCTGAGCAAAGCTGAAACTCTTTCGGCTATTTGGGGATGATTCCTCGAACCCAGGTTTCGATCATTCCAGTGGCATCACAATGGCATCGGTCATGATCAAATTCATCTCAATATATTGAACACAAAATTGTTATATTGATGATATCGATGCTATATGCATATGCACACACACACACACACATATATATATATATTTATTATTCATATATATATATATACATATATCTATATATATATTATATATTGATAATAAAACTATATATATATATATAACTATATAATAGAATAGAGTTCTTGGCAATACACTGCTGATATGATGCAGTATGGATGATCAGCAACAAAAGTCTCGCGGCCCGAGATGCCGCCCATCCGTGCGGCCCTTGGCCATGACCACCAAACCACTGCAGCCTTCACCCAGCACCTTCTTGGGAAAGACCTCGTAGTCCTGGCTGAATCCCTTGGGGAATCCCTTGGGGAATCCCTTGGGGAGTCCCTTGAAACCACATCAACTGAGCCTCAAACATGACGTGTTGAAAGGAAAAAAATGCATATGACCGACATGTACAATGAAATGATATACACATTGTGAAAGTTCAAACACGTCTCTCTCTCTCTCTCTCTAACTGTATAACAAAAAATACGCACATGCCCACACACACACACTCACATAATTATATAATATATGTACATACATATTCATCGTACATACATGTATCATGTATATATAATCAAAAAATATATCTATACGTATGTATATATATATATGGGCTCCCTTAAAAGGATGGAACAGTGGAAATCCACATATTTCCAGCTGTCAAAATTGTCAAACAACGCGTCCTGATCCAACTTCCGTCCGCTGGCATCGTGGTAGCGCGCGTGCGTCGAGGCGGCGTTGTAGGACATCGCTTTGGCACGTTCCAAGGAGATGGACAGCTGATCCGAAGAAATGGAATTCCTGGGGCTGATCCCGCTGATCCCCATTAAGGGGACCAACAAAAAATGCGGAAAAAGCTGGCTGGATACTGTAAGAGTTGGAAAAATCAAACTAGGTGGCTTAGTATTAGGTTTTTTTTTTGTTGTTGTTTCCATGCATTTATTCAACTAAACCGCAAATCTGGGAAATGCATGTGGAAAAATGAAATGGGGGTGATTTGTACATTGAACTTACCCTCACAATGGATATTCAACAACTTTTTCGGGGGATTGAAATAAAAAATCGTTTGGGGGGCGAATGTTTGGTGATTTTTTCTTGATATCATTTTCAGAAATGTGTAGCATTGGATCTCAATAAATATAGGGACAATTGGCCAAAAAAGTTTCAGGGCTGATGATGGCTGGTGACTCATAGACATTTTTTTTTTTTAATGCCCACAAACCTTGTGAAGGGGGAAGGGTACAATAACCCCTGTCATCCCCTGTCGCAGCGCTCAGAGCTGAATTGCGATTTATCGCTCAGTTCAGATTCAGTTCGGATGGCCTCTGCAAGCTGTCAGTTCAGATTCAAGCGCGTGATGTGAAGAATAGTTAGTTATCAGTCACATATTATCAGCATCACTGAAAGAATCAAAAACAGATTAAGTCAGAGTTCCAAAGTCCATCAAACTCCACTGTCCTTTCCAAGTTCGACTTCACTTCCAGGCCCAGCTCTCCCCACCAACCTCTGGCCCCACCGAGGCTCTTTCGGCCGTCGCCTTGTGGACTTGGTCCATCTCGGCACGTCGCCGGCTTGGCCACGCAGACCCCCATGGCACCGACCGAGGGAAGGCGCGGCGGCCCATGACACCGTCTACGCCGGGAGCCCAATTTGATGAACGGAACCGGTATACGACGCCGTGGCAGGATGAATTGAAAATATTGAAATAGCGGTCAGTTGAGGATCTCCAGGAATATGATCCAGCTATGGCAATGGGAGAGTTTTGACTTGCATGATCTGTTTGATACATGTACCCTCTGGTAATCAAACATGGATTGCTGGAAAATCCACCGTTTGCACATGTGTGTTTCTCATAAACACATCTATTTCTAGAGATCTTAACTTGCCACGTTTGGTTACTGGAGGGTATGCATGCAATTCGAACTTTGCAAGTGGCTTTTAATACCTTGTAATCATAATCATCTTGCTGCTATTCTTGGGGACCCCCAATCCCTAAACCTCATCATACCACTCCGGTAAGCATCCCAGTACTCAGTGGTGACCAACACTAAAGAACTGTACTGTCATACATGGTCGCTGTGAGCTCCTGTCTCTCTGACACATCACGGCCAATCTTAGCCTGCACCTATTCTCTCCCCCGAAAAAAGGCAGGTTTTAAATTGCTTCGCCACATGACTTTCCAATTTATGGAACTAACATGAACTAACTGGTGTTTTTCTGCTTGGTCTGGTTAGTCTATGTCTCTTCTATTCCGCATATCTTATTGCCGTAGTGGCTACCGGTGAACCCAGCCTGTCTTTTCATGTCCCTCCTCCTTGTTCCTCAACGCGCGGGTTGACATGCTCCATGGAGCACTTAGCTTCAGAAAGGATTGAACAGGGGGTTGTCTAAAATAGGGTACCCCCAAATGCCATGCTTGATCATCATATGTTCTGGTTCAATTCATTTAACTGATCTTTTTGCGGTAACCAATTGGATAGACCCAAATGGCATCTGCAAATTGAAGTTCTTCTACACGGCCTATTCTGCTCTTTTCTGGGATGTCCACACGAGATCAGTAGGGCAACAGGGTTTTTGGGCCATATATGGCCATGTCCAAACAACATGTGGCTGAATTAGAGTATCTACCATCTGTTTATTGAACATAGCCATGGATAATGGCCCATTTTGTTCGATGTTTTACCTATTAAAAATGGGTGGATTTTCCATTTATAGATGGTTTATCTATATACTGTAATAAAAATTGTGATTTTCCATGGCTATGTTAAATGACCAAGAAGGTAACTCACTAACCTGAATAAAAACTCAAATGTTGGGCCATTTGGGGATGATTCCCCGAACCCCACCATTCCTTTGCCGTATTTGCAGCTTGTGGGTCCCACCGAAAAACAAACATCAACCCTTCCGAAGTTCCAGATTTCAGCTATGTAAGTAACATCTGAAACAAATATACATTTGCATATGTAATAGTTACTCGGTAAAATAATTATTTACAGTATATATAATTATACATGGTCAAATGCTTACGGAAAAAAAAAAACGTGTCCTCAATATCAAAAAAATAGATGGGTTGAGAACGATTGTTTATAACTTATAACCATGAGCCATGGTTCATTCCATGATTCGCCCCAAAGTTGCTGTGCAGAGGAAAAAACCTATGATCATCCCTAAAATCAACTTAACCCCTGAGGTACACACGTGGACTATCAATTCTATTGATGCAACTGAGTTGTTGAGTCTTTTGTCTGGGCCCGGGATCAATCGATATCAATCGTCCATCCAGCTGTTCGGGGTCATCCACATCCCATACAGATGGCTGACTATTCACTGATACAATATATGATTATCAATTCATTTGGTTTCCAATGTCGAGTAATTAAATATTATTGATATAACAATGATCCATTCCACTGGTGTGCGTGTGTATGGCTGGCAGAATTATCTATTATATATATATGTATGTATGTATGTATGTATGTATATATGTATGTATGTATGTATGTATGTATGTATGTCTGTCTGTCTGTCTGTATGTATGTATGTATGTATGTATATGCGTGTGTATACTATACATATCACGTATATTCTGGCTGAATTACAATAAACTGCTAACATGAAAATAGCTGAACCTCGCGGCCCTTTGGGCCATCTTTGTGCCGAGTCCAATTCTCATCATTCCAGCATTATGTCACGCCGTGAAGTCATGAAAATCCATCCAGAACCTATAAGGTGAGCCTAAATTCGGTTGACTTATCACTTGGTTGACGAGGGATTATGCGGAAAATACCTGTGCTGGGCATTTAAAGCATTTAAAGCCAAAGATTTCACTGGGGGGCCATCCCAGGGCATCCCAGGGCACCTTTTGGGCGACCTCTCGGACTTTTCGATGCTGCTCTCGGGATTGCCATCGTCGTCCACTTCGCCGTCGCCCTCGTGGCGGTTCGCCAGCGACCAGCACTGCTGGATGAGTTGCAACCTGGACACCACGGGATGCCACGGGACACGGGATATCATGGAGGTACTTTTTTAAGATTTTTGATGGATGGATGGTAGAAATCCCATAGGATAATATATATATATATAATCTATGGATATCTATGGGATATATATATATACTGGTTGGTGGTTTGGAACATGAATTTTATGACTTTCCATTCAGTTGGGAATGGAAAATCATCCCAACTGACTTTAACTCATATTTTTCAGAGGGGTGGCTCAACCACCAACCAGTATAATAATGATATGAAGATAATGCGCTATAACAATGATATGGATTAGCCTTTGGATTTTAGTGGGATTATGGTGATGTAATGGGATATTAATGGGATATATCCTGTGGTAAACGTTTGCAAATCACCATGTTTAATGGGTAAATCAAAGAACTCAATGGCCATTTTCAATAGCAAACTGTTAGTTTACCAGAGGGTAACTGGTGGGTAGTTCAATGACCATTTATGGTACTGTGGATGGAAGAAATCCTGCACCACCTTGGGATGAAAGCCTGTAAATAATGGGATAAACAGGATAAACCACTTATCAACTGGTGCAGGATTGCTTCCATCCACTGTATCATCATGGTTGATGTGCATTATTTCTGGCATGATTTAAGTGGCTGATCATGATCATGATGGTGCATCACCGTAACTTATCCGGAAGAATGATGATTTCTGGCTTTTATATATGGCATTGAATTGGACTTAATGATAATTTAAAGAGATTCAGATAGCGAAGCGGACGCTTAAAGTTCACGTGGTGAATTCTGACGTTTTTTTTTTTGGGGGTGGGGTGATATAACGAACTGGTGTTCGTGGGGTTCATAAAACGACAAAAATCATTGGGGAGACTAGTCAGAATAGGATTTTGGATATGGGGTGGGATGTTGATTGGATGCGGAGCTTAGCCAAGTACAGAGTTAACCTGGACGGGTTTTGAAACAATTCATTACAACTTAGGTTCCCTCCACATTGAACCAGCTGAAGTGGCAAAAAATGTGGAGAGACATCCAAAAATGAGTGAAGTCCCTGAATCACAGGGCACCCATGGTATAGGATATTTAGCATATAGGACATTCTTCGATGCATTCTTCGATATATGTATACCCGTCTACAATCAATCATGGCAAAGAAAAAAACCCTATAAATGAAGAATACCAAGAGGGGTATCTACTTAAGGATCGATGGACATCATCCAAATTTGAAACTACACTACACATGTCCAGAAACACCGGTAGTTCCGGTGTTTCAACCAACCATCCATTCCATGCAAAGAATTTTGGAATATTTGAATAGAAACCATACACAGAAACCATCTGTTTCAGGTGTATATCTAGTGAACTGCAGCACCAGGTTTTAGCATCATCACGTATTTCCCACCAGGTCTTAACTCACCATGTTTTTTCGGTCTCAGACGTGTCTGGTTGGTTGAAAAAAACCTGGTTGTGTCCGACATGAGTCCAATGGGAACATCCCGCCTGGACCAGTAGTTGCTGCGGACATAGATAAAGCTACCACCCATGTAGTTGAAGATCCTGCCAGTACGCACCCGACCCAGGCTACGCAACCAACCTCGAAAAATGGCCTAGCTGTCGCTCAATGTTTTGTTGGGTGTGTTTTTCTTGTTGATAAAATGAAAACTATGCAAGATGTTGTTACTATTGGATAAACAAGATCTACACATGTCTTCATAGTTTCATATTTGATCCTATTTGGGTCTAATATCCGTGTAAATATATATATATAATCAAGTATGTATATAATCAAAATACCATCTGATATACATGTATGTTTTCATACCATTATATAATCATATACATGCATGCAGGAATTTAGGTCAAATCTTAAATCAAAAAATCCTGAAGTTTCGGGGGAATTCACTTGCGGGTCAAGATCAAAAGATACCAACAACATTTGTATGTGTAAAGCGTTCTATATTAAATTAAATATAAAAACCACGAAACAAATAGAAAAATAATTTCCCACTATTTTAGCGGAACGTGTCTTCTGATTTTTTTTGGTTGCTCTCGCACTCTCTCTCTCTCTCTCTCTCTGCTATATATATATATATTATATATAATTATATATATATACGTGTGTGTCATATTATAGGTACGGATGGATGTGTGCATGTGTGTTCGCATATGGTGTACTAATAAGTGCAATAACAAATTTGATGTTTGCAACCAATTTTGAAACTCTTAGGCGAAGTCTCCGGCCAAGGCTTTTGCTCAAAACTGCCATTTGCTGCAAACACAGACACGCCCCCAAAAAAACAAGAGTTTAATTAAAACAATCACAAAAATGCACTTTTTTATCAGGCAAAAATGTGAACATATACTAGCGACACCAGGTGGGATGTCAGTTTAATCCCCATGGTGTAAATCTTGTGCGACGATGGTGTGCTTGACGATGAATCTCCATCCTAAACGATCACCACACTGTCAGCCTTTCAGCTGCAGTGACTCCAATGTTCCAAGGATATGGCCAGCCCGGTCATACCCCATATCCATCCATATCCATCATTTTTTTTGGTCAAAGCCAATATGTTTGCTGCAAGAAATATACCCATGAAATTACCATAAGTCCCACGAAATATCTATATTGATTATCACTTATTTATTTTTTTGTGATTATTTATATGCCCCTAATACACTATCCATACGTAGTACCATTTTATCCCCATCAAATTCCAAAAAATCATTAATAACTTAATAACAATACGTTAGACCTTTTTACTTTTACGGCTGGTCAACCCATCATATATGTCCATTCATTGTTGGTTATACTGGGATATGTTTTTAAAAAATAAGTATCACTATTTTAATTATCAGTGAACTCTCCCATTTTCCGGGTTGCTCCCAACACCCTAGCTATTAGGGTGGTATATACATAGGGTAAATATAGGAAGGACAATTAGCCATGTTCTTGCTTTGTAGCCAGAAGTTGTATACCTATACAGCAAGCCGCCAAAAATGCCAAAACGATCCGAAAAGTGTGCCACCAGGATGTAAACGTTCGATGATGTTTCCCCCAACTTTCGGGCATCTTTTTTTTCAGAACATGGCACCACCTTTTTGCACAAATTTGCAATATTTTGCAATAGTTTTCCTCAAATTATCTAGAAAAAACAATTATTTCTCTGCTGCATGTCTGTTGGCCTATGCCAATCTGCTGCAAAGGGAAAAAGAAAAGGGGGGAGAAATTCCAACAGACTCATGAAAGTAACAAAGATTGGGTTCCTTGGGGTTAGGATTTTTTTTTTGGTTTCTTGGCTTCTCCTGCCTGTGCTGAATGCTGTGTTTGTCATACATTAGATCATTAGATACATAGTTTCAGCCAAAACAAACATGAACACTAAATAAAAACAATAAAACTAACAAGTGAAAATGCCTTTCCAAAGAGTGCAGCATTGCTTTAAAAAATTGAGAGACTCTTCATCTCTACGGGGGTTTCCCTCAACATATGCAATAGTTCTTTTGGACATGTGCATTTTAAACAGGCACCAACTTATGCAATATGTTCTCAAAAAAAAAGACGGAAAATAAACAGGCAACCATCACCTGTAAAATGACTTTGCATACAGACCACCATTCCTCCATGTATGCAACAACCTTTTGCAAACATTGCTGCGTTCTTTAAAAGATGTGTAGCATTACTTCCCAATTTCAAGGAGAACCCTCCTATGTATGTACTGAATGATTTCAGAAATCATAGCATTCCTGTAGGAAAAATGTAGCATGCTGCTTTGCAAGATTTAATTATCTATTCTTGAAATACGACAGCATGGGTTTGAAAAGAGTGCCATCTTGCTGACACATTGATTGAAACATGTGTTTTACCTTTGAAAGTGCAGATTCTTGCTTGCAAAGTGTGCAACATTGTTTTGGGGAAGCGTAGCAAGAGCCTACTGTAGATTCCATTGATGATGCAAAAGCCTGTTTAAACTGTTTAAACATATGTTTTTTTGTTGTAAAGCAAGTATTGCACCACCTTCTGCAATATGGCCTTTCACAGAGTACAGCTGTTCTATGGAAATGTTGTTTTGTTCTGAAAAGGGTGCTATGTGACTCGACTTTCAAAAGGTCTTCAAAATGTGCAACATCTTATCTTTGTAAACAAAGTAGAATATGGCTTCAAACAATGCAAAACAAATTGTAATTATAAATTATAAATTCAGAAATCTTAATGCAAACTTATTCAAAACAAATTATGGCAATGTAAACAAGAGCTACATGCCTACCAATTGTTTAACCACTGCGGCTATGAACATACTGGGTCTGAGGATCAAGACTGTTTGTTCCAATTTTGAAATGGTCGGCCATGTCCTAGATAATAACCTTAGTTTCATGCTACACTTTTTCGAAAAACATGTTGCATAAATTGGTGGCACGCTTTGCTGAAGTAGTACGACCATTGGAATCTGCTGTAGACTCATGTTACACTTTCTTGGAGGGATGCTACACAGATTTGCCAAGAAACTAGTCACTTCAAAACTACATATACATACACACACATAAATATATATGTAATTATATGTATGTATATATATATATGTATATTAATATATATACACATACATATGTGCATCCTCAAAGAAAGGCTTTCCTTGATTGACACAGATTTTGCACAGTTTGCAGTAATATGACATTTTGTTTCGAGCAAATGCTGCACTAGTTTGAAAGAGATATTGTAGGTAATTGTGCTACTGCACTCTTTGCATAGGCATGTAGCACTTGTTTACATTGCCATAATTTGTTTTGAATAAGTTTGCATTAAGATTTCTGAATTTATAATTTATAATTACAATTTGTTTTGCATTGTTTGAAGCCATATTTTACTTTGTTTACAAAGATAAGATGTTGCACATTTTGAAGACCTTTTGAAAGTCGAGTCACATAGCACCCTTTTCAGAACAAAACAACATTTCCATAGAACAGCTGTACTCTGTGAAAGGCCATATTGCAGAAGGTGGTGCAATACTTGCTTTACAACAAAAAAACATATGTTTAAACAGTTTAAACAGGCTTTTGCATCATCAATGGAATCTACAGTAGGCTCTTGTTACGCTTCCAAAACAATGTTGCACACTTTGCAAGCAAGAATCTGCACTTTCAAAGGTAAAACACATGTTTCAATCAATTTGTCAGCAAGATGGCACTCTTTTCAAACCCATGCTGTCGTATTTCAAGAATAGATAATTAAATCTTGCAAAGCAGCATGCTACATTTTTCCTACAGGAATGCTATGATTTCTGAAATCATTCAGTACATACATAGGAGGGTTCTCCTTGAAAT